TTTGAAATATACCCGGAGGAATTCAAATCATTCTACAAAAAAAGATACCTGCACACATATGTTTGTTGCAGCTCTATTCACAAATAGCAAAAACATGGATCCTGGCAACTTTCAACTTCCATCTCAATATGTTTAAAAGAAGCAAGTTTAGGGCCAGGTGCAGGAGCTGACACCCATAATCTCAGCACTTTAGGAGGCCCGCGGGTTCAAGACCAGCCTGGGCAACTAGGTGAGACCTCATCTCTACATAAATCAAAAGTTAGCCAGGTGTGGTGGTGCGTGCATGTGGTGCCAGCTACTAGGAAGGCTGAGGCTGAGGTTGAGGCTAAGGCAGAAGGATTGATTGAGCCCAGCAGGTTGAGGCTATGGGGGCGGTGAGTGTGCCACTGCACTCCAGCCTGGACAACAGAGTGAGACTCTGACCCCCAAAAATTTAAAAGCAGCAAGATTAGGTTTATTCCAGAAAATGATCTGATTTGTGCTAATTCTAAGACATTGCCTGGAGGGTTTTTCCCATGGCTGATTCCTTCCTACTATCTAGATCTTATCTGAAATATTACCTCACTTGACAACCTTATTTTTAAAATAAAACTACCCCTTCACCTATACATTCTGTTTCATTTCTTTTCTCTCTCTCTTTTTTTTTTTTTTTTTTTGAGTTGAAGTCTCACTCTCTCACCCAGGCTGGAGTTCAGTGGCAGGCTCATGGCCACCCCGGCGTCGACCTGCTGGGCTCAGGCTTTCCTTCTACTTGAGCCTTCCAAGTAGCCAGAACTATAGGCACATGCTACCACGCCAGGATAGTTTTTTGATTTATTGTAGAGATGAGGTCTCTCCAAGTTGCCCAGCCAACTTGTAACTTTCTCTTACAGAGAAAGATCTGAAATCATTACCTAATTCATGCATTTGAATATTTCAGTAATATATCTCAAAAACTATATTTCTCAAACAGCAGGACAAAGATCCAGTAAATAAGGGTCAGAATGGTGCCCCAATTGTGTTGTGATAAAGTCCACATGCAGTTTAAAGTACATACAAAATATTCAACAACTCTTAGGCATCTCTTAAAAGATATAATCTAAGAATAGAGTAAGTAGCAGAAATAGATTCATAAATCCGTGCATTGTTTGTGCTGGTGGGAACATTAGAGACCTAATATTCTAAACCCCACATTTTTAACAGGAGGGAATGGACCTAAGAGAGAAAGTGACCTATCCAAGTTATACAGATATTTAAGGTTGGCTCTAGGAACTGTTGAGTATGGCATAGGTGGAACTCTAAAAGGAATTTATTTACATTGTACCAAGATAACCAGTAAATTCAGTGGTACCAAAAAAAATCAATGTCATTGTTAGTTTGTCATGATGTAGACCAAACAGTCACTTGTTTTGATAGAGCTTTGAATCAAGCCAAGTAGGAAAATATTCCAAATACTCACACTTTTCTATCATAGTGCACCAACCGTGATCACTAGACCATCTCATCACTTCTATTTAATTAGCTGAGTAATTGCAATCTGACAATTCAGAATGCACAGATTACTTCTTAAATAAATTCTTATTTCTTGGCCTTATTAAAGGAGAGAATATTATTTTAACACATTCTATTTCTGGGATTATTATGTGATACTGTCATGATGGAGCTAATTAATTCTTTTTTTATTAGTAATAGAATATTTTTATTTGTAATAGAATTCAGGACCTAGTATTCTTAGATTTAGGCAACTGTGTCCAGGAAAAGTATGCCAATCATAACATAATTAATAGACTGCAAAAAAACTAAATTGTTTTGGGAATGTGTCATTCCTATAGTGGGAATAAACCCAGACATAATGAAGTGATCTTGATGAATCAGAAGCTCTTCTCTCTCCACTCCATACTTATTCCATTTTTACAACAGCTTTTGGTTTGATTTAGTATATTATTGTAAGAGAGACAGCCCATTAAACAGCTATAGAAAAGTAATAAATGTGTTCCTTTTAGGTTTTTTATACTTTTAAAATGATATTCAGATGATTTTAATTACTACAGAAGCATTGAGATGTTAATATACTTTATGTGAAAAGGAGGGATACTATTTCATCCACCCTTTTCTGTAGTGAATTTCAACTCTAAGAAAATTATTTCTTTTGATCCACTCTGGTAGCATGTAATAAAAGAACAATAAAACATATGGCTCAATTACCAGTGCTTCTCATCAAGCATGAATTAATGAATATCAAATTATTATTAATTGTTTTTTTCTGGCTCCCTCTCCATAGGACAACAATTATACATTGCTGTATTTTGATAAGCATTTTGTGTTTAACGCTTTGTGAACCAGTCTCTAAGAGGAGCAGATGCATGTGCTTACTATACAGGAGACTACTTTGAATTTATTAATTTGAAAAATGCATGATTATTTTTAATCTTCCTAATTTATGGTTTTCACAACTGCTTTAGCATATCCTTAGAATTCCTTCCCCACCTCAATGTTCCATACACCTCTTTTCTAGAAACAGTTGCTATGTACCTATACCATGGTTTATAAGTTCAGTTTCTCAGTGTTAATAATACTAGTACCTTACATGATTATTGAATTTTTAATTTCTTCAGAAAAAGCTCTTTAAATATAAAAGCTATAGCCTAAGCAGATAAAAAAATAAGCTACACAGCATATATAATACCCAGTATAACAGAGAATATAATACCCAGCATAACAGAGAATATAATACCAATGAGGCCGAGTATGGTGGCTCACACCTATAATCCCCACACTTTGGTAGGCCAAGGCAGGAGAGTTGTTTGAGCCCAGGAATTCAAGACCAACCTGGACAACATAGTGAGACCTTCTCTCAACAAAAAAATCAAAAACTAAGCCAAGTGTGGTGACATGTTCCTGTAGTCCCAGCTACTTGGAAGGCTGAGGCAGGAGGATCACTTCATCCCAGGAGTTTGAGGCTACAGTGAGCTGTGATCATACCACTGCATCCCACCCTGGGCAATAGGGAGACCCCAAACTCAAAAAAAAATGTCAGATGCATAATTTGCAAATATTTTTTCCCATCTGTGGGTTATCTCTTTATTCTCCTAAATTTTTTTGGGGGGGGGGTGCAAAAGCTTTCAGTTTGATGAGGTCCCACCTGTGTATCTTAGCTTTTGTAGCTTTTGCTTTTGGGGACTTGGTCATAAATTCTTTGCCTACTTTGATGTCCAGAAGGGTGTTTTGCATTTAGGTCCTTGATCCATTTTGAGTTGATTTTTTTGTATATGGTGATGGGTAAGGGTCCAGTTCAGCATCTACGAGGAACTTAAAGTGAAAAGAAAAAAAACAAACAACCCTGTTAAAAAGTGGACAAGGAACGTGAACAGACATTTCTCAAAAGATGACACTCAAGCAGCCAACAGACACATGAAAAAAATGCTCAACCTGACTAATCATCAGAAAAATGCACATAAAACTACAATGTGATATCACCTACCCCTACAATGTGATATCACCTATAGCTATCATTAATAAGTCAAAAAACAACAGGGGCTGGCATAGCTGTGGAGAAAAGGAAACACTTCCACACTGTTGGTGGGAATGTAAACTACTTAAGCCTCTATGGAAAGCAGTGTGGCAATTTCTAAAAAAACTAAAAATTGATCTTCCATATGATACAGCAATCCCTCTTCTGGGAATATATCCAGAGGAACATAAATCACCCTACCAAAAAGACACCTGCACACGCATTTTTATTGCCACACTATTCACAAAAACATGGAATCAACCCTGCTGCCCATCACGAGTGGACTGGATAGAGGAAATGTGTTACATATACAGGACGGAGTATTATGCAGCCATAGAGAAGATCAAAAGCATGGCCTTTGCAGCAATGTGGGTGCAGTTGGAGACCATTATACTAACTGAGCTATCACAGAAACAAAGAACTGTACTTATGCATAAGTGGGCCCTGATCACTAGTCACATTAGCATAAGGGAGGTATCCGATTGACAGTCGCTGGGCACCACTGGGGGAGTGTGGGAGGATAGAGGATAGGGGCACATGACAAAATAAAGGGTACCTGGTCTACTACCAGGGGAAAGAGGGCCACCTAGAAGCCCAAACTTTACCTGCATGCAGCCTACTTATGTAATAAATCCTCACTTATACCCTACAACTGTATAATACATAAATAAATAAATTGTTTTAAAAATGTTAGTGAATGATATAATATAAAAATCCATGCTAGTGAATGATATTTATAGACACTCCACAAAAAGCTTTTGTGTAGCTGATAGTTCATTTTATTTTTAAAAGATTTCTATAAATATAAAGTGCTATGTAATATGAATATATGTAACATGCTAAAGAACATGTATTTGTAGTCCATAACCATTACTTCTCATAGTTTATTTGTATGCTCAGATTTTGAAATGCATGCAACGAAAACTTAACAAGTGATTAAACATAAACTTTACATGTCATATGATTTTATCTATTACCCATAAATCTGGTTCTTTCTGTTCCTCAAACACAGTTTTTAAACATTCTATGTCTATGATTAGGTTGAAAGAAGACATTAGGTTAAATTGTGTATACGTTCTATTAGTTCAGTATGCTTAACACACACAGATACAGATAGATTTCTGAAGAGCAAACTAAAGCTTGCTTTAGACTCAGAGAATTTGGAGAGCAAAAAGAAACCTTAGAAATTATTTTATCCAATTCCCCTTATGTTACAAATAATGGCACAAAGATTTGGAAAGTTTAAGTGATTTTCTGAGATCCATACAACTTTTTTATGTTAATTTATATTTGCCAAACGTTATAAGAAAATTGCAGTTGGCATTTATTTTGCAGATAAAACAAGCATATCTCTTGCTTTCTTGACAGTTCATCAGGATGTCAATAATGTATGTGAATCCAAGTTTTTAGAGAAATTTTAGGGTGAGAAAATGAGAAACTTGTGTATAATGGAAACCATGACACACGGACAACGTATGGAGTAGAGATGGACCTGGCAAGGGTGACAATGTTCACTGCCTATCAGAAGCATTATTCCATGTAAACTTTTTATCACAAAATCTAGCTAGATACCAGATGGTTCTTTTTATTTGTATGACCCCATTGAAAGCAATTAGATGATTTATGCAATAGCAAAACTGTTACTTTTATATGAGTTGATCTTCAATGTAAAAGCTTTTCTAAATTACATATTCTTAAAATAAAACGTTTAACTTTTATTCCTTAAGGCTTTTCATCTTGATTTCCATGAGCCAGAATTATTGAATCCACTTTGCTGAAAAATTCAAAGAAAATAAGTTAGATATGCAAATTTAGTACAAAAAAACAAGCCCATCACTAAAACTTACAAAACAATTATTCGTTGAGGGGGTAGTGGTAGATTAAGGATTCTACTTTTCCATCTACTGCTGAATTTATTACTGTGACTTTTGGTCAGATTGTATATATGAAATACCAGATGCCTAGTATGCATATTTATGAGAGACTTGAGAGTCATAGCTTGACAACTTATGTACCATAAGAAATGAAATGGCTATGTAGTGCGCATAGGCAGGGAGGAAGTCACAAAGACTTCTGAGTCTCTTGATGACCACAACCCCCAGCCCATATCATAGACTTCGGGGAGAATAAAAATTTTGGAGTTATTACCACGCACATCAAGACCCATGATATAACATTAGATCACAATAGGCTTGCCAAATTAGACAAGAAAGTGCATATGAGAACTCTCTGGGGAAAGTAGAAAATAGAAGGCAAAGTATGAATATAATTAGGTTTGTTCTTATAATTGCTTCTGCAGCCTGATGGAACGTGGGTTTCTAAATATTTTTCAGAGCAATTTCCAGATGTAGTCTTCCAGTAGCTCATTAATATTACACATTTCTCTTTAAATTCCATACTTTGGATACCATGTAGGAGTCCCAAATGTTCCTCTTTCATTCACTGCACCAGCAAGACATCAGGGAAAAAATGCCTTTCACAAAGTGCTGTTGACCATCTTCTCAATATCATTTTGGATATTCTAGCTACTCACTACTGAACATAAAAATAAAATGTGGATACTAGCTTTTAAAAGCCAATCTAGTTTCATAGGACTTTATTTTGCTAATTTTTCAGTACACTGTGCACATCTTTTAAATCCGCTTTTAAACTTTTCATGCTTAGTTTTTTTTTAATGTTAATTTAAAATATTGGTTCTCAATGTTCTTTTCTCACATTATTTATACTGAGTCCAAATTACAGTAATGTTGATCTTAAGCTGATTAAAAAATACTTAGATACTATATTTGATTCAAAATTATGTACAATTGACTCTAAATTTTCCATTTAAAAGTAACATTAAAAGCATTGCTATTTTAAAAATTTGGTTAGAGCAATGCTATAACCAAATTAGATTTTAAAAATTACACAGTATTCAAGTGCAAGTGTAAAAGGTCAATTACAGATATGGATTTCAATTTAAACAACTACTTGAGCAGTTAAGATATTTTCTTGTATTAAAAAAATGAAAAGTTTGCTAAAACAAATGACATCATTGCTTAGTTATAGCTATGCTTAGTGTGATACTAGAAGACAATGTAAACATTGACTGCTCTTACACCATTAAACAAAATACTATCATAGTATAAATATTTGCAACTGAATTCTTAACTAAATATAATTAATAAAATATTTCTACTTTATTGAAATATATTATTTCAACAATATTAGACACATTAATGTTAACAAAAGTGATAAACACTTACAGAACATAATACTTACCCATAACTTTAGAGTAGCAAGGTTCACAGTGTATTGTCTGTCTATAAATCCAAATACTGTCACCTGCTTGTAGATTTTCCAAAGGCTGTTTGCATATCTCACACTAAAGAAAAAAGGTATACTATATAAAGTTTACATTATAGATAAAGCTTACATTCTTATAGGAACAAGGATAGAAAAAGACTTTTCAATTCATGGACCATCCTCCACATCAATACTAAGAGCCTCAGGAGAAGTCAGAGAAATTGAGAGTGTACTTGTCTATAATCCATGCACAAAACTTTTCAACAGAGAAACTGAGAGTGTACTTGTCTATAATCCATGCACTAAACTTTTCAAATAAACTGTCATATCATCTCTCTACTACAGAGGTACATTTCAGGGCATATCTACCACTGACAATTTTTTTTTAATTTTTATGAGATTTTTGTTTGTTTTGTTTTTTGTTTTTTAAACATGTTTTTTTATTTTGAAATTGTGGGGTATAGTTAAGGGTTAGGTATACAGATATGCTTCGTTCAGGCACCCTTGTTGATAAAGGGTGTCTCCTCGTCCCCAGACAAATATTGACTACCGTTAATCCCACCTCCCTTCCCCTCCCTGCTCCCCCATAGTTTCCCACCACTGTCAATCCTTTTCTAATAGTATTATGATAGATGTTCAAAGTTCACTATATGAATACCACTGACATTTTCTACTTAACTCACAATGAGTAGATGTCCATTTCCAAACTTTAGTTATGCCAAGGACAAGATCACCACTCAATATCTCAAACAAAAATGCAAAGTTGCATTTCTTGTTTGCTTACATGAGATCTACATTCCCTAGGCATAAAGTCATGGAGCACAATAAACTGCTTACAGAGTTTTAAGGGGAAAGTTTGAGTTGGTTACAGAGGCAGGAAACAGATGACCTCTGCTTTAGACCTGTCCACTGCCGATTGACTTACAAGCATGAGGCTGTCACCGATTGGTTGGCTTTCGGAAGCAACTTCACAGAAGCAAATTGTCATTGATTAATTGGATATGTTAAAACAAATTCAGGTGATTTTCTATTACTGTGGTCTAGAACAATCAGTGTTTCTCTAGTAATGTGGGGATCTTTTTATTCTGTTAGTAATATGTTATTAAAATTACATGGAGAATAGAAATAAAATATCTAAAATATAGTAAATGGAAATCATTCTTATTTACCAAAAGCAATAATCAGAAAAATTTTCTTGTGTAATAAATTTATACAAAGAGCTACAGGCTAACTTTTGTGTACTTGAATATATTTTATAATTAAAAGAAAATTTCATGTTCTTATAACTAATTATACAATCTTCAAATTATTATATAAAATATATAAAGAATTCTTCATATTATGTTCTAAAATTGGATTTTTTTGACTTAAAATGAGGTATCATAATGCTGATTACAATGTGTCACTGTTTGAAGGTAACTGGAAGAGAAACAACCCATTGACAAAGTATTACATCTGTTTGGCTGGATTAGATAATTTGCATCAACTGTAGAATGTCAGCACTAGAAAGAACTCAGACTTGGGAAAATGGTTCTCAAACTGGCTGCACATTTGATCTATCTAAGGAGTTTTTAAAACATATCAATGCTCAGTAATCATCTCTGAGATTCATAATTTAATTGGGGCTGATCTCAAACATTATTTTCCTGAACTGCCCAGATGATTATAGTGTGGCCATGGTTGAGAACCACTGGTCTAGTGATTTTATAGATAGGAAACTAAGGCCAAGGCAATTTAGGTGGCTGTCCAAAGTTATACAGACACAGTTACAGGTAGTAGCAAAACTAGGACTCAGGTCTTAAGATTCCCAGTTCAATGCTTATACACCAAAACTATGATGTTGACCCACCCAGTGTTGTTTGAGAATGCAAAGAAATAGCCTATGAAAGTCTGTGAAATAATCAATTAATGAAAGCTTTATTACTATTTATTAATCCACAATTAATTACAACTAATCATGCTCTCGGAAGCAGACTGAGTCTTAACTGTTGTTCAACCCATCAGTTCTAATTCATGATACAAGAGCTACTGGCTTTCTTCTCAACAATTTATTTTCTTTTTAATTTCATTACATATTTTATGTAATACATAATTTATTAAAGTGTTGCAAACACTTATAAAAAGAGCAAGTATTTCTTTTTTTCCACAGATCTAAATCTCTAGGGTAAAAGTGAATAAGTGTGTCAGTAATCAACTCTAAGCCTAAAGCCAAGATAGTAATTACAAACCTTTGAGGTTTAGGCTGCAGAACTCTGAAAAATATTTAAGTAGTACATTATTAATGTGGCTGATAGTGTTTTGAAAGCTTTAACTTCATCTCATGTATCTCATTAAATAATTATTTTTATTCTGTCATTATGCAACTTTATACTTAGTTAAATGAAATAAACACATCCTTACCTTAAAGCAAGTAGAATGGCAGCAAATTTGTAATTCATCTAAAATCATTTTAGTTTCTATACCCAAAGGTTTTCGGCAATAAGTGCACATATCTTTTTCAATGACAGACCTATAGAGACATAATCAATTAAAAATAAATTTGCCATCATAAAAAAGATGTATTTTCTTTAAAATCATGTGAAAAGGATATATTAATTTTGATAATACTTTGGAAAATTGCACCAAAAAAATCAAGGAAAGTTTAGGATTTACTTATATTAGTCATAAAATTGATTCCTCCAGTGACCTCAAAATAAAGTCAAATAATTAACATAAGGAAAAATCTTAAATTATTAATTCATCAGCAATCAATACATGACATGCATTGTAATATCACTATTTACCCCATAAACATATACAGTTATTGTCAATTTTAAAAAATAAAATAAAAATTAAATGTTCTTTCAGGATAAAAGCAATGGAAAAACAAATAAATAACTTTCTTCTGTTGTTTAAAAAAAAAAGCGTGCATCTGGGCAGGACAAAGATGCTCAGTTTCCAAGTTTATCTAGAAAATGTCTCAAGTATTACTTCAATAACCCTTGAAGCTAGAAGAGGATTTTAAATTATTAACTTATTTTTTAGATTACATGGAAAAATTATGCTGCAGATGAATATAAAATTTTAACTCTCGGGATATTCAATAGACCAAAAATAGACACCCATTCAAAAGTGTGTTGGATAAACTCACAAATGATGATTCTGTAGGTTCTAGAGTCACCAAAACACTGCTCTTGGTGCCACTGTAAGACTCAGGACACAGGGGTACCCATTATGACAAAATTTATACTCTCTAGTAAGATATAACCCCACCACAAATGTGAGAGGGAAAAAGAGCTTTGCTATTCATTTTGGAAAAATAATGTTCGACGATAAATGTAGATTTAATCAGCAGAATCCAAAATACAGTGGGTCACAACAGAGCCCAAAGAAAGATTTCTTTTCCTTTCGGAACGTCTTAGGATAGTCTTTAATAGCACCCTGCAGAGTTTTTCATGGTGTTGGCACACAGGCCTGAAATCTCCATTGTGAAGTACTTAATGGTGTAGTGAAATAAAATAGCCGATATTTATATAGCTAATAATTTGGTGCATTTTCCCCTGTACTTTATTTGTATAAACTCATTTATCCACAACATCCCTGAAGAACTGGTACTATTATTTTTATCATCAATTTTACAGAAAAGGAAACTGAAGGAAAGAAGGATGAGTAACTTGCCACTGTCATGAAACCGGCCAGTGGAAAAGCCAGATTTGAATGGAGGCAGTGTGGTCCTGGAGTCCTTGTGCTGTCTATGAGGTTTGTTGGGCTCACTGTGTTGAAATGAGTCAGTCATACCCAGGAGCCACTAATCTATCATCAAATCCAGTAGTAGAAGCAGAGAGGAGGGAAAATGGAAGGGAAGAGAAGATGGAAGAGGAAAGGGATCGAAGTAAATGAACTCTATCTGGTTGTATATATTTAGTCATTCAGTAACCTCTTCCTAACTCTCATGTCTATAAATAAATATTTTCCTTTTCCAATTAGCTCTATTCCTAATTGCCACAGATACCTGGCAAATATTTTTCTTGAGTTATCCATATGCATGTGTGTTTGTGTGTATGTGTGTCTACATATAGGCATACACTTAAATTTCTCATTCAAGACTGTAAGCACCTCAAGAACAGAAAATAGGTGTTCTATGTAATTCATCTATTCCACAGGTACTGAGTTAGAAACTGGGAATACAAAGAGTGGTGAGATAGTCTTTGATGAGAAACTTTTCACTGGGGAAGCCTGATCAGTGACTCCATGATTGCAGCATAGTATATATGGAAAGAGTTAGGAGAGCACAACCAAGAGAACCACTAATCCTGGGGCAAATTCAGGAAAAGTTTGTCAGAGAAAGACTATATGAGTTAATGTGTGAAGAGGAAGGAGCTCTCAAGCAGGTTCAGTGAAGTGGGGGTTATATGGTGAAGGAATGCCAAGCAGAGTGAACAGGATATAAAAAGGCACTGCTCCATGACAGTGTTTGGAGTGATTGCACAACAGTCAATATTCAGCAGGAGTGGTTTCTGATGGGTCAGGGAAAATGTGCAAAGGAAGCTAGACTTTATCCTGCAAAGCGAAGAAACCACTTTAAATGGGATTAGCATACTTAGATAAAAACTATGGGGACATTGCCAACTTCACACACTAATCAACAGCTTGGTTGACTGGTCTTATGGAGAGTTAACTTTTGCAATGATGACTAAGAAAAATTTCAAGGACCACTTTAGGAACAAGATTGAAATTCTTCATATTAATAGCAATAATAGAATGTTTATCCTCCTTAAGTTAACAAAAAAATATGACTCTCAGAAGTATGCCGATGCTGGTGTTGTCCTTATTAAGATCATATGGATAGTCACAGATCTTTTAAAAGCATTATGAAAAATCTAGCTCTGCTTTTTTGTTTTATTGTCGGTGGTGGTTATCCAAACAATATGTGTAGTTCTAATGCTTGTGATTCTAATGCTTGACTTTACTACTCAAAAAGGCATGATTTATAGGCATGACACTCAGCAGAGCATTGCTAATGGGAAAATCTTGGAAAAGTGACATGAAGGGGATATAATTTTGAGGCTTGGTCCACCCAGGTTTCCTTTAGCAAATGGGACATTGGTTCATTAAAAAAAAAAAAAAAAGTCATATATTCAGTACATGTTAGGTACCAAGCACTGTGTTAGGAGCTGAGGTTACCCATAAAAATGAGATATGACTTTACCCTCAATAAGTCTTATTTCCAGCTCCTACTATAAAGCAACACCATCGGTAGAGTATCAGACATTTGCACGATGGCTTGTTTCCAGTGGTTGGGTTTAAATGCTAATTATTTTCATTTACTCCACTGGAAATCTGCAGGCCATACTCTCATGTGTATCACCTCAATGCCCCGACTACACATTAATGGTAAAAGAGGATCACTAGCAGCAAAAGCCCGGAATGGGGCCCATTCACCAGCACTCAATCAATACTCATTGTAATGCCTCTCATGGGAACTGAGGTTGGGCCCAGGGTGGATCACTGCAGCACATCCTCGCAGCTGTCTGGGCTTCAAAAAGCCACAGGGAGGGAGGGCTGACAGCATAGTCTATTGATGCTATGAAGCCTAAATGCTAGTATTGTGGCAGTGCTGGGGACCCCTGGGAATCACCAACAGCAGAGGGGTTGGCCTGGGAGGCAGCTGGAAGGCACAGAAAGGTCTTTTGTAATAATGTACATCTAAATCAGAGAGCAGCCGCAGCTAAGAAGCCAAGAAACAAATTCTTGGATGCAGAGGCTGTTGTTAGTGAGTTGTACTTTGCTCTATCCATGCACATATATAACAAGTAGCATCAGGAGAACCATCTCCAAGTACAAAGGACAGCAAGAAATAGATGTGTGTGTGCGTGTGTGTACATGTGTATAATTTTTACAGAAGGAAATAAAGACATACTCACCTATCTGAAGTTGAATAAACAGTTTGTATGTATTTTCCAGAGATATTTTCCAGATATCCATCCTTTGATGATTTACTAGAAACAAACATGTGTATATATGAGAATCAGGCTATTTTCCTGTATGTAGACAAGGAAACACACTCACATTGTCTCAGGCAGCCTTGTTAGGGTTATTCTTTGTATATGTTACAAGCCTAGATAATGTACTGATATCTTTTACTTTTAAACTGTAGAAGTATTGCTATACAAACCACCTCCAAGTAAAGGAACAAGTGTGAGGAAGTACAGAAGTCATTTTTTCATGAAATGTATACTTGGTCCTCAGTTATTTGCTAAAGGAAAGCCACAATTTCAGACAATTAAGTTCGCGAATTCATCCTAGAAAAACTGCTACATAACTCATTGCTGAATGTCACTACAGTTACCTTCAAAATACTCCCCTTGGGAAGCTATGCACTAATGCCAGTGCCTAGTCCATCCATCTAGGCAATTTTGGAACTCTTTTTCTGGAATGGCCATTAGAACTATTGTCGTATTACCGTTGAGGTCCTGAATGTCATCAAAATGTCTTCCTTTCAATAGTTCCTTTATCTTCAGGTAAAGAAAAAAGTCATTGTGGGCCAGATCAGGTGAGTAGGGAGGGTGATCCAACAGTTATTTGTTTATTGGCTAAAAACTCACTCACAGACAGTGCTGTGTGAGCTGGTGCATTGTTGTGATAAGAGCTCCTTCAGGACCATTTTTGCACACCTTTCTTATGCCAAGATTTTCAGTTGAAATTTTCCTAATGGTTTCTCTACTGATGTTTATTTGTTCTGATATGATTCTCACAATCAGTTGACAATTTTGATACACAATTCGATGAATTTTTGCAATGTTTTCATCAGTTCTGCTCATTACTGGCTGTACTGACCTCTCTTCATTGTGACACATTCTCTCTCCTCAGGAACACGTTTAATCCATTTCTACACTGCCGTTTTCTTCATGGCTTTGTCCCCATGAACTTGGACTAACATGTCCCTGGTTTCACTTTTACTCTTGCCAAGTTTAACAAGACATTTAATGTTTATTTGTTGCTCTAATTCAAGCTCTGATATTCTCGCAATGGCATACAAAAATATGCAGCAACAGTAATGAATGTCACTCATCAAGATACCACCACATGTCAACACAAACACAGCTGTGAGACACAGATATACTAAGGTTATGAACCTTACCGAGTTTTTTGTACAGTACTGCCAATGGAAGCACATGGTGGCAAGTTTGTGAACTTAATTGTCAGACCTCATATATGTAGTATTACATAGTTGAAGGAAATATAGCATAAGCAGGGCACACATAAACACACAGCATTCAGAGGGAGAGAGACTGTCGAGAAAGCTCTAGAGATTTTTAATTTCACTTAAAAATATCCAAGAAAGAGTAATTTAGAATGTCAGCAAAAGAAGTGTAATTGTTAAAAGTCCTATCTTTTCCATTACATTGATCATCCCAGTTTTTAAACATCAGTCTTTCCTGGAGACAAATGAAATCTATAATGTACTTATCATCTGGTCCCTCATAACTGGTTCCGAAGTACTTATTCTGCCTGGGAGTAGATTAGGAATGGAAGCAATATGTTTCTTTTATTTCATATCATAAGTGATAACTCCATGGCCCTCACCTGGGATTTTTTTAATGAGAAATCTCTCTCTCCCTCCAAATTGCCTGTGGGCAGACTGCCATCAGGTCTAAAATCTACTTCATAGAACACATTATCCCACAATGCTAAGTAAGAGTTTGCACATATTCATGCATGATGTATATACCATGACTACCATTTTATTGATGAAGAAACTGAGACTTGAAGAGTAACTTTGTCAAGGCTGCATGGTTAGGAAGTGACAAACAAGAATTCAACCCCAAATCTAATCCTAGAGATTCTATACTGCACTGCACTGTCTTCAGTGTAGATTCTTGGGAAGTTAGAGAAATTGGAAGTGCATTACCCTCCTTGTTAGGTTGAGGTACAGGAGGTGAATTTTCTGGCCTACAAACTATTGGCGTGATATGCCACAAAGTTAATATTACCATTTATCATAATAGTTCTTGAACTTGAAACACCTGAAGAGTTTGTTAAAACACAGATTGCTGGCCTCCACCTGCAGAGTTTCTGATTCCACAGGTGTCAGGTGAGGTCAAAAAACTTTTATTTCTAACAAGTTATCCAGATAATGCTGGCCTAGAGACCACACTTTGAGAATAACTGTTCTGTGTGTGTACAAGTTACACATATACGTAGTATATAGTTTTTAAAAATAAACTATAGTCATTATAACTGAATAATTCAAGTATGTTTTCATTTTAGCGCTTCCATGAGTCAACATTCTTTTATATATCCATTCAATGAGCCCAAAAACCTAGAGCATGATGTTTAATAGAATATTTCTAATTTTAAAAAATAAAGTCACTCTTTCCTTAAAAAAATTAATATTGTAGTTATTTAGTATTTGTTCCCTTGAGATATTTCTTTAAAAAGTAAAATGCATTGGTGTGATAACCCATGGGGTAATAAAATGTGAGAAACATTACTATGTAAATATAGAATAAATGTTTATGTTATTTTATTCTATTTGCCAATATTTGGTCCTGCCTTCACTATGACACTATTTTGATACTACTTATCTACCTATCAATTCTATCAGATTTAGTAACTACTTGCTATTTTAAAATTTACTCTGAAGCATTTAATCTTTTAGTTTAATTAAGAGATCAGAAGTTACTGACTTGAACACACCGTAGAGTGAGAATTAGATTAAGGAGAAAAAACAATCTTGAGGTTGCATTTTACAAAGTAAATTATGCATGGGTTTGAGAAACTTTTTTTTTTTTTTTTGGAAGATGGCTAACTTCCTGACATGTACTAAATTCCTGGAGCTCCTCAGGGTTTCCCTCCACAGAGAAGCCTCCCTGGACACTCTGCTCTTAGGTCTCTTTGAAATGGGTGGTGATAAACACATGGGTCATGCTTACTTGTGTTTATGTGTTATATTACTCCACAATTAAGCCAATTCTTGTTTTAAACTCTTTGAAAATCAATTGGATTATCAATCCCTGACCTCAGTTGACATTTTTCTCAACATCCATTACTCCAAACAGCTGATTTCATGGGACACCAATTTCCTATAACTTGAACCAGGATGCATCTACTCCTTATTTCAGATTGGATGTAAACAGTAACTAGAACCATCAAATTAAAGTGGACTCCAAATTAGTACAGAAATAGTTGTGTGATTTTATAAAGCTTAGTATAACTGTGTAGTCATACATGTTGATATGCAAACTTTCAAATGGTAATCCTATTATGTATGCATGTGTTACATTAAAATATCATTGAGTTTATTCAATTACTGTAGTTATTATTATTTTTTAAAGCAGGATTTATTGAAAGAACAGAAAAGCTCCCACAGTGGGAGAGGACATGAGGGGTTTGGCCCAATGACTGTAATTATTTACAAACTACTTAATATAAGAAATATTGTAAAGATTATCATTTAATCAACATACGCTTAAATGGTCTTCTATTTGAAGGAAGCAGTCCTAAAGTAATAGTTTAATCTGTTGTTAAACATAGATTATTTCAAAATTATAAAATGAAACCAAATATTTGAACTAAATTTTCAATACCTATTCTCCACATATGTCCTTGTGTATACAACAGTGTCCTTTGAGCCCACATGCTTGGTTCCGGCATTGGAGCTGTAAGACAAACCATTTTACTTCCTGTTTAAAGTTTATTTTTAAGGATAACAAAAACAACAAATCTATTTTCCAATTAAATACAAAGCATAATGCTGGCATATTCCTTCTGAGCTATAATTACCAAAATACAAATGTTAAAGTGGTATTAATCCACTTCTGTAAAATTTCTTTTTGTCTCTCATTTTGTTCTGAACTTCCACCATCTTGGCCTACTTCCCAAGTATTATTATGAAAGTTGGTCACTGAGTAAATCTGTTGTAGACCATGAAGATGTTTGAATATTTGTGTAATATGTTCCAGCATTTGTTTCCCTAATGTTCCATTAATATTTCTAGACCATAGCTTTCCCATAAACCTCAAACAAAAAGCGGACTTTAATGAGTTATCATGACAACATCTGATTTAACCAAGCCTTTAGCTCTACCTAAGGAATATCACCTCCAATGTCACAATCATGCTTTTTTAAAGTGTAGACTTTTTAAGAAAAATCACTTTTATACCTTCCTATCCAGATGTCACAATGACCAGGTTGCTAACTCAACACTTTTGCACAAGGCTGCTTACCCATAGCCCTAGATAAAATTAGAAATTTCTGCATTTCAAAGGAAGAGTCAAGTTAGATGTGTGATTTTTTTTGAAACAGAGAGAGTATATTTCTCTTATTTGTTTTGTAAGCGACCACAGTACCTGAGATTGTTCCTGCCTTCATAAGAGTAGTCAGCAGTTCTTGTGGACTGGTTATGTAGAGCATTGGTGAGCCCGTTGACTTGGCCATCTAGCCTGAGAAAGCAAATGCAAGCAGTCAGCACGTAAAATCAAGGCAACATAGAAGTGTTTTTGTTTTATGAAAATGCTTCTCAATGAGGATTACTTTACATATAATCAATCTTTTTATGTTTGTCGGTTTCTACACAGGTAATACAAACAGAATGCATGTACTTTTTTACTTTTCCATGCAAACTTCTGTATTACCTTTAAAAATAATCTACAGGTATGTACCACACCGTCCTTTTTATCGAGGACAGAAAGCATGTGAAACTGCCTCTGGTAACATTTTCAAGCTAGCAGGGTCATTTTAGAAAGCTTCCCATGGACAATATATCTGAACGTTTATCAATGAAAATGTTCCAGAGGTTGCTTGGTGAAATTCCTGTTTCCTTTTTTTTTTTTTTTTTTGAGTTGGAGTCTCACTCTGTCACCCAGACTGGAGTGTAGTGGCCACTCCCGGCTACCACAGCCTCGACCTGCTGGGCTCCGGCGATCCTTCCACTTCAGCCTTCCGAGTAGCCGGAATTACAGGCACGCGCTACCACGCCAGGCTCATTTTTTGATTTATTGTAGAGATGAGGTCTCGCCTGCCCAGGCGGATCTCGAACCTATGGGCTCAGGCAATCCACTCACCTCAGCCTCCCAAGCCCAGCTCCATTTTGTTTTTAATAGAAGGAAATACCTTGAATACTACAGAAGAATTCTAACCTAGATTTCTGCTCATCTAAAAATGTCACTATGCTTAATAAAGTATAGCCATATTTGCTTTTTCCTATGTAACAGAGGAAACTCTTAAAGCAAGAATAGAGAAAATTTTAGCTCTTTTTCCTTCTCCATGTTAGTAAACTCTGACATAAGAGAGACATGGAAACCTAAAGGAGAGTTTAGATCTTAATCAAGCCTTATCATTCTCAAACAGGCTGTTTCTTCCACTTCCAGATAGCTCTTAAAGAAAAGGAAGACATTTGTTTACATATTATCTCTGGTATACAGAAAATCATCTGATTTTAAGGCAGGTGTTACATAAAACATACAGCTGAGTTAAAATTATGCTAAATAATGATAATGTGAAATTAATATTATTAGAAGGCTTTAAAATATGATTATTAGGATATGTCATCCCGAGAATAATAAACCCAGCTGCGAATTGTTTCTTAAAATATGCAAATAATATAATACACAATATAAAACCCAACTTTAACAAATAGCTTCAAAGGACAAAGGTTATCTGTGAACTTGAAACGCTTTTGCATTGTCCTCAGCTACGTAAAATCAAAAATCATCAGTTTGCAAAATCTGCAGGAAAGGGAGATAATTTGCAGGCAGTACTCTTATGGACTGAATTTTGTTCTCCTTCTCCCAAATCATAAGTTAACCCACCATGAGACTGTGTTTAGAGACAGGGCCTATAAGAAGGTAATAAAGTTTCAGTGAGTTTATGAGAGTGGAACCTTAGTCTCGTAGAACTGATATCCTCATATTAAGAGGAAGAGATCTTTCTCCTTCTGTGCACAGAAAAAAGGTCATGCAAAGACACAGAAAGAAGGTGACCATCTGCAATCCTGGAAGAGAAGTAGATGCCAGCCTCCAGATTGTGGAAAAATACATTTCTGTTGCTTAAACCACTAAGTCTGTGGTATGTTGTTATGGCAGCCAAACTGACAAATATAAGTACCATTTTCTAGTTGTGTTTATAATGAGATTAACGACAATGGCTTCATGAAAGATTTAATGTTTATAATTGGGAACAAAAAATAAGTTCTAGGTTTGGAATGTGGGACAACAAATTCTTTGACGAATTTTGCTCCTTATGTAGATTTTGAAGATGATGAATTAAAAAAAAATAAACTTTTACTTTTAAATGTATAAGAAAATTGCAAAGATAGAACAGAGAACTCCTGTATACCCTTTGCCCTACTTTCCGTAAGGCTAATATCTTACATAATCGTAATACATTTATTGAAACTAAGGAATTGATATGTATAAGATGCTAAGAACTAAACTACAGGCATTATAGATATTTCTTTTTTCTTTTGAGTTGGAGTCTCACTCTGTCACCCAGGCTGGATAGCTGTGGCACACTCATGGCCACCCATGTCTACTTGCTGGGCTCCGGTGATCCTTCCGCCTCAGCCTTCCAAGTAGCCGGAACTACAGGCACGCGCTACCATGCCTGGCTAATTTTTTATCTATTGTAGAGAGGAGGTCTTGCCAAGTTGTCCAGGCTGATCTTAAACCTGCGGCCTCTGACAATCCATTCGCCTTGGCCTCCCAAAGTGCTGGGATTACAGGCTGAGTCACCGAACCCGACCTGTATTTCCCTGGTTTTTCCATTGGTGTCTTTTCTCTGTTCCAGAATCCAATCCAGGATACCACTTCCATATAACCACCATGTCTCTTTAGTCTTCTAGTGTCTGTGATAGTTGCCAAGTCTTTGTTTTTCACGAAATGGTGATAGATTTTACAAAGAAAATTCTACCCTATGACAATAAATGGTAATACTAATTTTTCTGTTAGTTTAGAACCATAGAAATAGAATTGAAGAGACAATACTTTGACAGCCAACAAAACAGCCTGTAGTGCTTTTTAAAAATACTGCTGAGTCTCACATTCAGATATTCTGATATAATCGGTTTGGTGTATAGCTTGGAAACTGGGAGCTTTTAAACCTCTCCAGTGAGTCACACAGGCAGTCAAGGTTGAGAACTCCTCCCTTAAAGGTTAGGAAACTCAACATCTTACCCAAAAGAGCTTTGAATCTCAGAGCATCGTCCCCAGAAGAGCAGGTGATTTTGATATCTATCAAAGTTTGGGAGCTAGTGTGATAGAGGAATCTCTGTCAAAGTATTTATCTCAAATTCCCTGAATAATCCTTGTGAAAGAGAACTTTTCATTCATAATATTTGACACTTGACAGTTTTATTGTTAGAAAGTTATACTCAGCCAGGCTCGGTGGCTCAGCCTGTAATCCTGCGCTTTGGGAGGCTGAGGTGAGTGGATTGCCTGAGCCTGGGGGTTCAAGACCTGCCTGGGCAACTTGGCGAGACCTCATCTCTACAATAAATCAAAAAAATTAGCCAGGCGAGGTAGCACGCGCCAGTAGTTCCATCTCCTTGGAAGGCTGAGGCGGAAGGATTGCCGGAGCCCAGCAGGTCGAGGCTGTGGTGGCCAGGAGCATGCCGCTGCACTCCAGTCTGGGTGACAGTGTGAGACTCCAACTAAAAAAAAAAGTTATACTCTATTAAAACACATTGCTGAACTATAACTTCCAATCAATGATCACAGTTTTGTTTCTTAATTAAACAATGACTCTACAAATACAAACCTAAACATTGTATTAAATCTTATAGAATCCCGAATAGAATTATACTTGAGGAAATGTTTCCTGCAGTGAAAATTCACTTTGAAAATGTATCTATCTGAAACCTTCACGTACTGCTTGTGAGAATATAAAATGGGATAGCTGCTTGAAAAGCAGTTCCTCACAAATGGTTAAACATAGAATTACTATATAACCCATAAGTTTCACACCTGAGTATATGCCCAAGTGAAATGAAATCAGATTTTTATACAAAAACTAGTATATAAATGTTCATAGCAGCATTATTCATAATAGTGAATTCCAACCCAATAGTGAAAACAATCCAAATGCCCATCAACTGATAAGTAGATACACAAAATTGTCTGGCTACCTTATCTTTATATGATTTTTTTTTTTTTTTTTTTTGAGTTGGAGTCTCATGGTAGCCTATAGTCCCAGCTACTCAAGATGCTGAGATTGAAGGGCTGCCTGAGCCCAGGAGGTTGAGCTGCCATGAATCATGACTCTAGCCTGGGCAACAGAGTGAGACCCCAACTCAAGCAAACAAACAGTTTGTAGCAACAGTGAAGTATAGCTTCCATCCTGGCCTTTTTTGTAATGACAAACAAGGTATCATAGTATCAAAGCCATTTACCCTGTGGTGTAAAGAAGTTTCAAATTGTGTCCTGCTTTGTGGCAGTGATAAATCTGTGCTTTCTTTCAGCACTAGGTATCCAAGGAAGAGATTCCCAGAGTGCTTTCTGCACAGCTGAAACCTACCAAGCAACAGTAAGTAAAAATAAATCTTCACAGCCCAAGTAAAGCTTTGAATTTCCATGATGCCTTTTGCACTAAGCAATAAAACAGCAGGCCTGAGTCAGACATTCTAACCAAACTAGAATTTTGCTAATTATTTTTCATGTTATCAGTTAAGTATGCTTTACTGTAATTTTTTTATTTGGATAGTATTTATATTTAAATACCATGATAAACTTCAACTCCCCAGAAAATTTTCTAAGGTACACAATTTATACAGGTGCATATGGAACTCATAAGAAAGAGGGTAAATTATAATAAGCTTTACCTTCCATTCTTATTTTGAGACATATGAGAATTTACTTCAATTAAAGTATCCAGCTCCTGGTCTCTAGAGAAAAAAACAAACACAACATTTAGTTTAGTTACAACATGATGTTAGAAAATAAGCAAATATTAAAATAATAAATTTAAAAATCAGTACTCAATCTTAGACATAGTCATTTGTGACCTATAAGGATATGGGAGATTGGAAATCTGACATTGAGCTGTTTGATTCATACAATTCATGGATCAAATATGAAAACGTGGATTACATTATGAGAGAGAAATAAAGAACTGCTTGGAAGGTTTGGGAAATTTGAACTGAAAAGAAGCCACTTATTTGTAGTCATATTCAGCTAACTTTTTTTCCTTTTTTTCAATTGATGCATCATCGATGTACATAATTTCAGGTACATGAGACAATTTAATGCATTCATATAATTTGTACAAATACACTGATTTGGGATATCCCACTCTCCTTGATATTTATCTTCTCTTCATGATAAAACTGTTCAAATTCTTCTCTTCTAGCTATTTCAAAACATACAATAGGTTATTGTAACTATAGTCATCCTATTCATCTATTTAACTCTAGGTCTTATTTCTTCTGTCAAATTGAATATTTATACCAATTAATCAATTTCCCTTTAGCTAACATTTAATGAATACTAAATTTTTGCCACAAAGTTATAACTGTGCATTTTCACATAGATTATCTCATCAGATCTCACAAAATCCTTCAGGACAGCATCTGGAGCTCAGAAAAGCTAAATCAACCTTTCCAAAGCCAATTAACTAATATATGGAAGAGTCAAGATTTGAGGCCAAGCCACCTGCCCCACCTGAAATCAATTCTTAGATGTTTACCTACAGACTTCATGTAGGTTTTAGAATCAAAGAAACATGGGAAATCAACTCATAATTTGAATAAACAATTCATTATGTGGAAGATAAATGGAGTGATTAGATTCTTAAATTGGACTGCATTGATAACTTGATAATCTTTCATGAGGTACAAAGTCCCTAGCATATTATTTATGTACTAGGTATGACACCGATAGTTCTTGTTTTTGTTTGTTTGTTCTGTTCCTGTTGTTGCTGTTGTTGTTTTCTCTTTTCACGAGTTTAGAAAAGCCTTTGTCAATTGGGTAGGAACATTGTTTAGGTGTCAGAACAATGGGGTCCATCTTTTCCCTTACTTCTTTGGGCGAGTTAGTCAACCTCTCTAAACTTCATTTTGTAAAGAAAGCTACTAATATCCAATCGTATAAAGTTGTGGTGAGAATGAATGAGCTAATTAAATAAAACTCATGACACAATGACAACACTTGTGGGTGAACTGAATAATGAATAAGCATAAATAATAGCTCGTAGAAGTGTAGTGATGCAGCAGTGAAACTATTGATTCCACAATTTGAGGAATTACTTTTTTCATTTTTACTTCTATTCTAAATTTTTCACATCTTTTAAATGAACTTCAGTTTTTAAAAAAAATCTCCCTTTTCACAGTCCTGACTGTGGATTTACATAAGGTTATTAGTCATGGAATGGACTCCCACTCACAAAATTAATATAGATAAGGATGCAAAATACTATACAAAGTTTTCATCTTTATGTGGAGTGAGATTTATTTTTTTTTTACATAACATCTATGCTATCAATAACTGATACAACATGCAAATTAGGCAACATTCCATAGCCACAGTTAAATCTCACATTTAAAATACTAGCTGCATACTTTAGAAAATGTAGAAGTTAGGGTAAATTGCTTTTTAATGTGAGTTACAGTAGAACTGTGCCAATGAATATATGTAAAATTCCAGAGGAGCTCTGAAGTATCAAATCACTTGATTCTGCAGTCTGAATGATGTAAAAATTCAAACTGAATTCCTCAACATGACTGCAAGGACCATGTAAGGTAACCTCCCAGCTTGAAACCTGCAAATGTAGAAATGGTGTCGGAGGACTCTGAATTTGCCTCAGTCTTGATGATCTTCACTAGTGACTAGAACCAGCTGCCTGGCATCAGGGGCCACCGAACTATCTTAATAGCCTCATCCATTAAGTGATCTTCCCTATAGCTTTTAAAATAATAATTTACTAAATACTTGGGGATAATGAAATAAAAACTAAATGGAGTTTCATGGTATTCCATAATCCAGTTTCCTAGGAATGTCAAACTGAGATGGTTGGCAATGGTAAATAGTGAAAGATCACCAGAAAATGTTTACCTTGGACAAATTTTGTCCTTCAAAGTGATTCTTCCTCCGTTGCTAACACTGAAAGAACAAAGAACTATTTTTTTAAGGAAATTGGTGGCTTTCATTACAACTCAAGACTATGGTTATATTTTTATAGCCTAACATGGACTTGTACATAGCAGTTGTTCCATTAATGTCTGTGGATTAAATTAATTTAAATTTTCTTTTTTCCTTGGGAGATATCTATTACTATCTTATGTGCCCTGAGAAGAGATATTAAAGGGATCCCAGGAAGAAGGTATTAACCTAGACTCTGAACCTTTAAGGAAATCTGCTGTGTTTAGCATATACCATAATCATGTAGAAAAAGATCATTAAAGCCAATAATGGACAATTTATCCCCATCTGTGTCCATCACCCAGGACCTGCCATACTTCAACCCTAAATGCATATATTTCTTTTCTTTTTTACACAGCTCCCAGTCCTGGCTTTGTTTAAACATTTTTGGAATTTGTTGTAGCTTGAATTGCATTCCTAAGTCGAAGTCCTAACTCCTGATACCTCAGAATGTGACCTTATTTAGAGATGGGTCTTTACATAGCTAATCAGGTTATATGACTAGTGTCTTTATAAGAGGAAATTTGGACTGAGACACATGGAGGGAAGAGGATGTGAAGACACAGTTGAAGACAGCCATCTCCAAGCCAAGAAGAGAGGTCTGGAACAGATCCTTCCCTCTTGGCCTCAGAAGGAACCAACCCCTGCCAACAGCTTGACCTTGAACCTCTAGCCTCCAGACCTGTGAGACAATAAATGCTTGTCTTAAAGCCACCTAGTCTGTGGTGCTTTGTTATGCAGTGCTTTCAAAGAAACACAAAACTGCTTCTACCCTCACGATGTGGTTACATTTCGTTTCTCAGCCTGATGGTGACATCTTCCATTCCTCTTGCATGTTTTGCTCCTGAGATACTGCATCTTTGTTCTGCCTACAGCTCTCACCAAATCCTTTTGAACATTGGCTATTATGAAGGGAAGCAAAAATGGGTATGAACCTAGGGAATAAAAGGAAGCCAGAATCTTTTATATCCAACAACTACAGGTAGATGACTCAAAATTGGAACCTATGCATAACTTTAAAGAATTATACCCCCAAAGTAGTACCATTGCAAGTCATCAGATAAACCATATTACTAGTTGTCTCACAATTTTTTTCTTATTTTGTCAAATGGCATCACATATCAAGTTTGGTAGGGTGAGTTATATGATTTTAATCTGAATAATGTATACTTATATTGAAAGCAAAATAGAAAGTTTTAGATTATGAAAAAGTACAAAATGTGTATCTACTTTGGTTATTCACCCTGACTGATGTCATCAGCTATGTTTCAAGATCCAATAAAAGCAACTCAGACTGCCATAAACTTTCCAAATTAAAGGATATAAAAATAAATTTTATTCTTGAATTAAGACCACATCAATTGCATGGTATCTTTTACACTGTGGTGGAAGATGAAGAACTGTGAGTCAAAGTGTGAACAATAGACTTTTATAGAAGTCCAGCCAAATGCTTGCAGGGTTGAGCAAAGTCTTGATTCCCAACCCTTTCCATGACAATTTCAGTGGAAGACCTTATAATTTTGTACATGTACTAATTCCAGGAAAATCACCAATTTTCTGTAGATATAGAAAACTGCTAAAGAGCAAATATTATTAACCATTGCAACTAACACACTTTCAAATGTAGATTTCAAAATATTTGGGGGGAAATATGAGTTATCTGTGGGGTAAAGCCACAGGCCGATTGTTAAGTGTAAGAATTTACTCATGTTATAATAGTGTAATTTATTTTCTACTGCCACATTAAGGAATATAGCATTCCTTCGCAAAGCAGGTGAAGGGGAAAAATATAAGAATTCTAGGGACCTAGGAATTATGTCTCTCACTATACAAGTTTTCCTAAGATAAGCTCTGCATGCGAGAAAGTTATTAGCTCACTCCTAACTGTTCTTCCTCTCTCATGTGGCTGTGGGAGGTATTTATTAATAGGCAGCAATATGTTTCTCTCTATACAGTTAAATTGCTTTTGTCACGTATCAAACACATTTTAAGAATTAAGAGCCTCCATGTAAAAACTTTACTACAGAAATCCTTTTATGCCAGAAACTAAATATTAGGCATTAGGCTTTAGCTCAAACGGAATGCCTATCTTTCTGAAAGAAATATGGAACACATTGAGATGACTGATATAATTCCATAACTTATTGACATAGTAAAATGAGCCTAACTTTATATATTTTTACATAGTTTTATAATTCCTTTCATTAGGGGAAATTAAAAATTGTATATGAAAGAAATTAACAGTTCAATAGAGAAGTTTGACAACTTAGGGCACTTTAAATATGTGACCAAATATGTGGTGGCTCTAATTCCCTGTGGTTTATTATGAGATGAGATTATGTCTTGAGTAAAAGATTGTCATTGGCCCAAGCAAGAAGACCAGTCTTAAAAGTCAGATTTCTTCCATCTGGTTTTACTCATGGGGGCTCAGAATATTAAAGGTGGAAAGCAATGAACTTTATCTCAGTAGACTATTATAAGGCGTTGATTAGTTTGAGATTTATCCTGTAATTAACAGAATATTTGTTAAACATTTAATATGTGCCAGGCATTTCATTATGCACTATAGGTAAAGAAATGAACAAACAAGACAGATCTACTCCTTGCTCTTAAAAATCATATAACCAGAGAGGAAAGATTAAATAACAACTCTCTCTAAGAGACAAATGCTATGGGACAGAAAGGACAGAGAGTCTAAGAATATCTAGAAAAATCACCGAATGCAGACCTGGTGGATCAGGGGGACTTCCCAGAGCCTAAGTGAGAGTCACCCAAGTTGACACCTGAAGAATAAGTAGAAGTTATGGAAAAGCAGTGAAGGGGGAATGAGGAGTGGGTGGGTCAGAGGGTGTATGGGTGGGTTTTGCTTGTTGATGGAGAGTAATCGGGGATATGGACAGCAATGCCCATGGAGGACAGATGATGGTGGGCTTGCAGACAAGGCTAAGGAGCATGGTCATTATCCAATGGCAATGGAAAGTCAATAAAGGAGTTTAATCCGAAGAATGGCATGATCAAATTTGTGTCTTAGGACGATCGTTGTACAGTGTGACAAATGAATTGAAGTGTGGAAGGTGAGACTGGCAGCAGAGGGACAAGTCAGAAGGTTGAACAGTAATCTAGACTATAGCAGTAGTAGGCATGATGAATTGTCTTGGATTCTTAGGAAAAAGCAACCTAAGTGATTGACTGAATGAAGCAATAGAAAAAAATCAAGGTTATCCTCAGGTTTATGTCTTGAACATAAATATTAAACACATGAAATAGGTTGATATTGCAATAGGAAGGAAGTCTTGTTTTGTTGGTACACTAAAACCTTGGTTTTTGTTTGTTTGTTTTTTACAAATAGGAAGCTCTTTTAAAAGATGGAAGATAATACCACAAATAGTTAAGAATATTTTTTCTACTTTCGATATCTTTTCTAACTGTAAAGATCTTAGAATTTTAATAATCAGTCTAACAATGGTATATAGGCTATAGATAACCGAGCATCTCTCTTTAATGTTGATTGATGAAAATGTGAAACTGTTGCTGCTAAAAGTAATGCAAATTCTCACTGAATAACTGAAAATTCTGTACACATCTGCCTTTGTTCTGGTTGTGTTCCTAGAAGGAGCTCAGGGATGCCTGCTTACATTCTGATCATTGACTGAAGTTTGTTCAGCCCCTAGCTGTGAATTAAATATACAGCTGCTGGAAATGTCAGCAAAGTCACATAAAAGAACCCTGATTCACTGCTGTTATACTATTAAATAATCAGTGCTTGTGTCACATTGAATTGATGTATAAGTGCTTTGTAGCTACTCTTCTTCCTCCTGGGAGGTACTTTAAAATACCTACATTAAAATAAAGGGGGCAGCATGGATATATTATAGATACAGGTGACTGAACCAGTTGAATGAAGTCATTGTTTTCAAATAGTTCAGTCTTTCATGTTTGTCTGCTCTGTGATAATTCTTGAATAATCCTGGTTGATTATCATCAAATCTGGTATACCACTAAAGAAAAATCAGACGTAGCTTAGGTTAGATTTGTGGATCAGGCTTCCATCTTTTGTTTTTGTTCTTGCTTTATTTTGAGTCAGGGTCCCTCTCTGTCACCCAGACTGGAGTGCAGTGGCATGCTGATGGCTTACGGTACTCCTGGGCTCAAGTAATCCTCACCCCTCAGCCTTCTGAGTAGCAGGGACTAAAGGCACTCACCATCACACCCAGCTAATTTTTTGATTTTCTTTTAGAGATGAGGTCTCACTATGTTGCCCAACATGGTCTCAAATTCCTGACCTCAAGCAATCCTCTCACCTCAGCCTTCAAAAGTGCTGGAAGTACAGGCATGGGCCATTGTGCCTGACTTTGACATCTTAAAATTACACGATGGCCAATAATTTAAAATTTATTGTATATAGTAATTATATCTGTATAAATAAAATGTCCTTTTTCTATTGATATTTGATGAGGAGTTGCTGAAATACAAACTATCTTTTTATAAAATTAGCCTTTTCTAATAAAACAAAAGGCAAAAATTCTTATGAAAAAGTTAACATTGTCAACATAGCATCTTTGTCAGAGGGAGGAGAGAGTGAAGATGTGGGGGAAAGAGAAAGAGAGAAACACAGAGAGAGAGAGAGAGAGAGAGAGAAACTAAAATTTCCACCACTAGTTATTACACAATGTGTTTTTAAACTAACCATTTTCAACATGATTGGGAACTTCCTAAAACTGCTACTGAGAAAAAGAAAAATCCACCCCATAGATACCAGTATAAAGAAATGGTTTTCCTTAACAAAGATATTTCCTTACAATTATCAGCAGCAGGGTCCACACCAAGATCTGCTGTTATTTCAGCTATTAGAAAATCTCCATACAACAAGTGCTTTCTCTTCTCCCTGTCATTTTAACAATAATTCTCTAGAATAAATAAATCTGAGCCCAGTCCTTTAACTGGCTGTAAGGAGAAGAGGGGCATAGGGAATATGAAGAATGGACAGAAGAGCATCTGAGGTGATTTAATCACAGATCTTTTGTTTTTCCTCTAGGTAGCAACATCAGAAGTACCTGAGTTTAAATTCAGGATGTGTTTGCTTTCTTGCGAATATTACCTAGTATCTTTGAACTTCAGTATCCTCCTCTATAAAATGAGGTACATAAATATATTTCTCATAGGGTTGTTGTAGCATTAAATGTCACATACGAGCTATTCGGTAAATGCTACTCTCTAAGTAGCAATTGTTCTTCAGTTGCCTTCATATCTTCCTACTTCAAAGACCCCAATACTCCAATGATCAAAACAAACTTAAAAACAAAGTAAGGTGGGTGAGGTAGACAACAAGCAAAGAGATTTAAGAGTTAGGTCAATCCATGTGTTACACTCTCCTCTTTCTCCTGGCAGATTCAAAGTACTTTTGTATATGTTAATTTGTTCGATTCATCTCAGAGGACTGGAATATTATTTCCAGCTATGTATTTGTTATGATAAAATTTCAGGTCAGTAGAGCAATTTGGATTTCTGATGTGACAGCTCTTATATATTACCTATTACTTTATTATCTACTAACAAAACACTTTAAGGGAATGGTGTCACACAAAAATAGCAAACTATAAGATACTTTCAGAACTCCAAATGAATGCTTATGGTTAAAATCTGCTGCATTTTACACTACCTGTGGATCTAAGATTTTGAAGACACTGTATATTCTTTCCAGTGCGCTACAGACATCCATGTAAACCACTAGTAGTTTTGGTTCAACTTCTTCAAAATAGTTTTTCATCTTATTTAATTTTACTCATTTCTTAATTTCAGTCCTGAAACTCTATTTTCTATAGACTACAAACCCTAAGTTGTGTTAGTGCAAATAAGAAGCCCAGATCTGATTCCAAAATAGTGCAATTGATTCCAAAAGAGTGCAATGTTTCCTTGTTGACAGGAGACACATGGGTTATAAATGTTCCCTTATCTAAAACTTGAAAGAAAAGCCTTCTTTAAAAGTGAAAGAAAAGAAGAAAGAAGTGAGGAAGAAGGAAAAGAAGAAAGGAAGGGAAGAAGGAAGGTGAGAGGGAGGGAGGAGGGAGGGAATATATCAAGACAGTCAGGCAAGGTTATTTACCGATTACTGTTTCTGAGAGCTGAAGGTTTCACTTTAATAAGATCGTCCAAGTCTTGGCTGTTTAAAAGAAAAAGAGGGAAAAATTCAGATTAGTAATAGGTTTCTGGGATGTGCTAGGTCAATGAAGCAACATTACAAATCTGCTTTATCCAGAGGCAACAGACAGATGTAAACATAAATTCACTGCTTTTATTTGATTACCTCTGATTGTTTCTGATTACTGCAAGATTCACTTTGATGAGGTTATTGAGATCCTGGTTTCTTTAAATCAAAAAATAAAAAGAGAACAGGTTAATTATGAAGTTCTTTTGGTAAGAACATTAAGGTTATAAATATGCTTGAAATGATAATAAGAAATATTATTCCCAACTAAAATACATTAAAAATAATATAGTTCTATTACCTTTGGTTGTTTGTGAGAATTTCTGGATTCACTTTGATGAGCTTGTCAAGATCTTGATTTCTTTAAGTGGAAAAAACATGAAAGCAGCTTGCATTAGAGATAATATGGGTCTAAGGTCATTGGAAATAGGAAGAAAGGATCACAGTATGATACATTGTTTTGGCATTGAACAGCCGTGAAGTATGTTTTCTAACCAATTTAGGCAAGAAAGAATTAAGCTGTGTCAGGAGAAAATTTACTTTGACTTCACATATTTTATTGCCAGAGCCTATCCACAAGGGCATGCTGATTAAATGCTCCACAGCAAACATCTGGTGATGGACAATTTTTCACTCTGGAATGCTTTAACATTATGAAGATACAAACTGATTCTAATGTCCTTGGCATTCTGAAAATCATGTTCACCAACTAAGGATGTCCATATTTTAAAAAATGATCTCTAAAGCTGAGATTATTTGTAACATGAGACTTAGCAAAGAGAGTTCCAACAATCCATCAAAATGGTGACTTTTTCATCCTTTGTGATGATTGAAAAACTGAAGTAAACTCATTGTCAAATAGTTACATACTCTGAAAACTGCTCCCCATTTGAAGTTCTACCTATTTCTCTTCTCAGCCACATAATAGTGTTTCCTCCCATGTGTGTTACTGTTATTCACTGCCTCAGCATAACACCTTGTTTTTAAAGACTAGAAAGTAGTGATATTTTGAAGTATTCCTATATTTTAATATCTATTCAGAGAAATACATGGCAGGCATTGTGGCAAGACATTTCAGGACTGACAACACCTGCTTCTAGTACCATCTGGGACAGCAAACTGTCTGGATGTTTTTTTTTTTTTCCTAATATATAAAATTAATCACAATGTTGTTTAGTGACTATATATAATATTCATGTGCCAGCATAATTAAGAGTAAGTGATATGGAAAATGCAAAAACAAACATAGGAATTTTCATTTTCTCCTGAGCACAGAAAAGTTGATCCATCAAACAACCTAGACCAATGATATGCAAACCACGGTTTCATAAAGCCCAATAAGAAATACATCTTCCATCACATTACTCTCTCTTTTACTTACACATACACATTAAAGCATAAACTTCATGCAGTGTTACTTCCACTGTATAAGAACTCCCTTATTTTTCTATTTGATTCATTCTATATAATTGGAGAGAAAATGCTGATTGCCACTCACTAAATTAACTACAAGACCCTTTAATGGATTGCAACCCATAGTTTGAGAAGCAAAAACTTAGAAAGCATAAATATGTGCTATATTATACTAATCCTCCTAAAAAAGCAACTCCATGTGTTAATAAAACAAAGATCGCAATAACAATCCTGAATTTCCTTGATTGACAGCATTATGAACTTTTTGAAAATAACAAATCTGTAGGCATTTTTTTCAGACCCTAGATCCTGCAAACAAAGCAATTATATCTCCATTTTACCTAGGGAAAATGTAATATTTTTCCTACTCAAATTACTGCTCTTGCTTATTTGGCTTTAAAGATGTAGTAAAAGATATATTAGAATGTGTAGGTATTATTATTCTCATGTAATTTAAAAGCTGTAAAGTGTTTTACAATCACTAGCACACTTGTGCCATTGTAATCTATGAAGTAATCTTCCAAGTGACCCTGTGGGAACCTAAAAATCACCTCCTGGCCTTTCCATGACAAGAGCAATAATCCCATCTTGATAGTGTCTGCTATTTTCTGAGGTGCTTAATTGATATGCATGTATTTTAAGATCAACATCTGTGTGCTGTAGTATAAAAACTGGGAGTTGGGTTGGTAGAAGACCTCATAGAAGACAATGCGATTTTTGCCCCTGGCCTCAGAATTCTCACCTGTAAATAAGGAGATTGGATTGGATATCTCCAAGGCTCTAGCCATCTCTAACATCTACCTCTAGGCCTCTATTAATAAGAATTTTACTGCCTATGTGTTTCTAATATTAGCTCTTCAATATATCTTCCTTTAAAATGCAATTCACTGACAATACATTCTATATTCAGCAAACAGTACATGAGTACTCCAAAATGTAATATATTAAATTGACAACCTATTATTGTCTTAGAGTAACATCTCTGTGCCCCTGGTACATAATTAGCTTTAATCTATGTTAATTGCCTGCTGTTAATAAGATTGAGTATGTCTTCTGAATTCTCTTTTTGGCGTCCACAGCCTGTAATTATACCTAATGTGCAAGTAATGATACCTAGGTGTATGCTGTGAACCCAGTAGGTGCTCTGTAATTATTCTCTGCCTAAGAGATCACAGAACTACTATTAGTCTTCCACTAATTTTCTCTGTGACCCTGGTCAAATCACTTAACCTTTCTGAGTCTTAATTTCCCTCTTCCACAAAATGAGTAGATTGAACTGGAACAACAGTTTTCAAAACTCCTCAAACTAACTGGGCTAAGATTCTCTAAGGTTCCCTCCATCCACAATTTTACAATTTGTATATGTACCAACAAATCTCAAAAAGAGAAATTACAAGATTTCAGAAGATATATATGTAGAACAGTAATGTGTAATGATATTAAGTCTTCATATGTTCAGATACAAAAAGTGAATTTCACTTTCTTATGGATACCACTCAAAGAATTATCAAATCTTAGGTCCGTAATCTTGTTGGGAGCAGCAAACTTTAAGTACAATGAACCTCACACAATTTCCACTTACTACTAGAAAACATTCTTCTAAAACGAAGTAAGTGATATTGCTAATGATGAGTCTAATGAAGTCTTTAGGTTTTTTTAATTAACTATCTTGAATAAATTTAAATCAATTCCGGAGACAAAGATATTAATGACAACACCATACCAACAAAACAAGTCACATAAGCAGCTTATAGAACAGCTATGCTTCTACCCATCCACTTCAATCTCTCCCTTCCACCGTCTCTACTCAAGGCTGGGAAGTCAAGGCACCACCACACACTGTTTTCAACTGCCTCCCTTTCTTGCTCTAACAAATAGTTACATGTCTAGGTTTCCAACTGTGATGACATTTCAAGATCTATGTTCAATTTTCCCATAGAATGATTATAAGTCATTTATAGCCACGTTGCATTTAAAGAGAAATAAAATAAATAAATAACATCCTTCGCTTACCCGATAGCTTTGGGGTTTATATTAATATGTTCATCGAAACTTTGTTCACTGCTAAAACAAAATAAAAATGTCAAATTCAACTGGAAACCAGCAAACTTCATACTAGTATTTTTTTTGGACACATGTAAATCATTCAATAGGAACCTAGTATAAAAAGTAGTAAGTTTTTGGAGTTTCTACTTCATAGACATTAGTTACCATTTTTTAATCCTCAAAACAACTCATTGAGGTTGAGGTTATCATCTGTCCTTTATAAAGAAATTGAGTTTTAGAGGGATTAAGACACTCCCTGAAGCCAGATACCCAAGTGGTGGTTTTGGGTGAACCAAAATTCACACTACAAGTGTACTCTAAACTCCAAACGCCTTCTTCTTAATATCCTGCCCCTCTCTTTTGGTCATAAAAATCCCTTACATCTGCACCCTGCTTTTCACCAACATTACCTTCACAAAAATTCTATGAGAGATAGCTCAGAGTTTCTCTGCCATGTTTTCATTAACTTTTGCTCCAGTATGTAGTGAATCTTAATTTCTCCATAACAGAAGTAAATTCAATGTTATGCAAAATATTCTAATCAAGTATAAGAATGTTATGTCAACAATTTTCTCATAAGTCATTTAAATATTAATCCTTGGGCTTGTGAGACAGTAGAAAGCCAATATTTTCAATATTATTCAGTTTTATGAACTTATAATTTATTAACTACAAATTTGCTATTGGAATCTAATTACAGTATTATTGTTTCAAAAGGAATTTCAGGAGTAGTAATTATACAGTATTGGCTTTAATATTTCATTTTCAATAGTATTATAATGAAATAAATGGGTACAACAATAAAAGAAAAAACCTATCCAGTATTATTATAAATTAACAAACTTTTCTTGTTTATTTCATGTCCCCCTTCCAAATGTCCTTAGCCAAAGAAATAATCTTATTTTCTGGCATAAATTGGAGTCTTGCTTAAGAATTTTCAATAATCTTAATAAATTTACCTTTTGTTTGCTGAGGGCATCACTTTGGTAAGATTGTCCATGTCTTGTTTTCTAAAAAAAATGTTGTAAGTTTCAACAACTGACAAAGTAAATTAAAGTCAATAATGTATGCATTTTTCAATCTTAATATTAAGATTGTTGCTCATTTAAAACTTCATTGTCACTTGAATTGTTGGCACTATGTAAAAACAAGTGGCTACTCTCCATTTATTTCTTACATACCTTTGTATGGTGAGAATTTAAATGAGTATTATTCTTGTTTCTCTCAGATTAGCCCAAAGCAGAATTACTCCTAAACTCATTGTTTTCCATATTATATATATATATATATATATATAGTAGAATTAGAGCATTTAGAATATTTTTGCAGGTTATAATGAGCAAAAGAAAAATATAAAATTACTTCTATATACTCCTTATTCTCCCTCCTCCAAAACAAACAAATGAAAACTGAGACTTTTTTTAAAAAAATTATTTTCTGCTAGAAACAAAGAACAGAGTACACATGTTCTCACTCATAAGTGGACCTTGAACAATTATAATACTATACGAAAGGGACTGGCAGTAGTGGGAAACTGTCGGGGGTTGGGGAGTGGGATTGGCAGTTGAGAGAAATTGTTAGGGGAGGAAGGGACATACCTCATTAACAAGGGTACCTGCATAATGAATGTTTGTATACCTAACCCTGAATTGTACCCCACATCTTTGTAATAATAATAAAAAAAGAAAAAAGAATTAATTTTTGATTTGAAATTATGCAGGTAAAACACAATGTGAATATGTAATATTGATACTACTCCAAGATATTAGTTAAATAACTTCAGAATCACACAAAACTAAATTAGAGAAAGCAAGATTTCAGATTAAGTTTTATTCTAAACACTGAAATAGACATTGCTAGCTTTAAAGAGATATGGATATCATCACAGTAATAATACCATCTTATTCATCAAAAGACCTGAATAAGAAACCTAATTTGATATATTTTATTATTGGATAATAATTCTATTTCCTGAGGAGAGTAAGACTGGAAAGGCTTATATCTCTTAACTACCCTTTGGGACGAAATCTATAGGCTCATTTTATCATGTAATAACCTTCCATGAAAATTGTTGTATTCTATTATTTTGAACTATAGGAAACTGTCATATGGTGGATCAAAAATAGTTGAATGTCAGCAATTTTGCAAGATTCAAACTAACAGAATAATTTTTTTTTTTTTTTTGGTATCTTCTTTGAATTGAGTGATGTTGGGTGGATTTAATGATGAAGAAAAATTGTTACAGTAATAATAATAGCAATAGATAAAGTATAAAAAGTACTTAAGCACTAAGGGCTTTACAAGCATGCTTTTATTTTAAGTTAAATATTTTTACAGTAACTCATAAATTAACTCTTACAATCCTGACTTTACATATTTTTAAAAACTGAGACTTAAAGGAGGTTAAACAATCTGTCCAAGACTACACAGTTAGTAAATGTTCTTTACACTCAAAAATCTTATTACCAAGTGGAAAAAATGGACACACAACAAAAAGCAATACATGGTGGCCTGTGACTACTAAATAGAGGCTCAAACACTGTACAAGAAAGGTCATAGGATTAAGGGCATCTTCATCTTTAGAAACTAAAGTCATCTTGGGAGAGGAACAAACAGCAACTGTCTTTCACTGAATCTTCATCTGTAATATGAAGTATTACAGGGTCTCTGGATTCAGTGTCTGACCCTCAAACAGTGACAATAAAGTTGTATACTTATTTGGTAAGAAAAATCCAAAGACAATGTAGCACTAATTATTCAGATAAAAGAGTGATAGAATCTTCAGTTTAACCACAAGGTAAATGAAAAAAATAGATGCTAAAGAGGGGACCGGTGGGGTGAGGGGTGGTGCAGCAGGCTGTATTTCAGAAGTCATCTCAACTATATTCAGAGTTGACCCTCTTCTGCCCAAACAAAATACAATGTAGTCTAGGAGTCAGCAAACTACAGCTCTCAAGCTAAATTCAGCCTGCTGAAAGTTTTAATGGAATATGACCAAACCCATTCATTTACAAGGTCTTATTTATGGCTGCTTTTTCATTGCTGGTACAATTGACTAGTTAAAACAGATACAGTTTTGGCCCCCCAAACCAGAACTATTCACTATTTAGCCCTTTAAGAAAAAGTTGCTGACCTCTGATCTAGTCTAAGCTCTGTTTGATAGCCACATACTATAAAAAAAGAGTGTTATATGCAAAGTAAGATAGAAAATCTATTAGAAAAAGGATATAAATCTTGGTATCTTTTATATATAACTCATGTTCAAACTTGCATAACAGCATGTGTTTATAGATTGATGGTTTTGTGATGTCTATGTACTCAACAGGTTACACCTTAGAGAAAATTCTCTCTAAAGGACAAATGTCATTCTCTATATTCTTTATTATTTCAGTGAACTGAGTATACTTTTTAAAAATGACCTCCCAACTTTAGGAATTGTTTGGGTGATAGACAATATGAGAGGGAATACATTCTGGAGGAAGAAAGAGAACTTTTTATCACATGAAGACCTTTTTATAGGCTGTTCAGCTCTAGGAAATTGTTTTGGTGAGATATTTTGTCCCATGGAGAAGCCCCATTCCCTTTAAGGTAATTCCAGGCATGGAACACAAATCTCATACTGGCGAAAGATTATCCTGCATTTCAAGGAATTTCTTTCCCATGGCCAAGGAGTGGGCAAAGGCTTGGACTCCAGGTTTCTAATACAGGAGCTACTGATTTTGAGTCCCATTACTGATTGTCTCTGTGGTGGGACAATGCAATTTGTCATAGTTTTAAAAGTTGAATAGAAAAAAAGAGAGAGAGAGACAGAATTCTGAGTTCCATAAACCTTACCCTTGATTAGTTCTGTCCATTTTAGGAGTCACCTTGATGAGGGTGTCAAGACCTTGGACCCTTGAAAACATGAAAAAAATGACCAGATCAGTGGTAGATTTACATCAAGTGGTTGCACGTATTGGTTGAAACTGAGAAACACTTTCTATTATAAAATATTTATTAAAACAAAGGTCATCTCAGGGCTAGGGTTTTTCAGTGTTGATTATAAATATACATATAGGGACTTAATTAGAACTGCATAAAAATAAAAAATAATAATGAGTGTTTTTAGAAAATTGTTTGTATCCCAGGCACTACTCCAAGTGATTTACACAATTTATCTAATTTAATGCTCACACCAATCCTCTGGTGTGAGACATAGGAATTCTTCCTTTGGCATATGAAGCATTATCATCCCAATTTCATAGATGGAAAAACTGAGACACAGAGATTATGTAATTTTCCCATGTGGCTAGTAGTGGCAGGACTGGCATTTAAAGCTACGTAATCTAGCTCCACAACACCAACCATCTTACTTAAATTTGGTAAGTGACTTAGCCTTGGAAATGTCTGGAGAACACCTGATCCAACTTCCTCAGCCTGAGGAAGAGAAAACTGAAGCCCAAACAGAAGTGACTAGTTCGATATCACACAGTTAAGTGGGGCAAAGCCAGGCCTAGACCTCATCTTTGAGTTCCAGCCTAGTTTTGGTTCCCCTCCACTGTGGTTCTGCTTAAGAAAATAAATGAATGAATAAAAATGTTTCATCCATCCTGGGAAAACAACTGTGTGCCTAATTAATCAAAGGGTAGCTTCATTGTATCAGAAACTAAAATTTGCAACATTTCAGATGTGAGGTAGTCAGGGTTACATGATTTTTCTGAAAGGATCATTGGGTTCAGCATCAGTCAGCTGAAATGACAATTTAATTATACTTTTAAGCACTGGTTTCTATGAAAAGAAAAAGAAGAGCTTATTAGACCTTACCCTTGCATACTTTTTCCTGTTCTTGGATTGTCTTTGATGAGGTTATTAAGGTCTTTGGCACTTCAGACAAAACAAACACAAACATGATAAATAAAAATGGAATAAAATTAATTGACTGCTTTGATATAAAAGATATATATGCTCAAGATGAATTTTACTATTAAGTTTTCAGAAAAATAAATACCAGTCTATGCCCTTAATTCAAGAGAATAAAATTTTTGACTTTTATTTAAATAATTGGTATCCTGACTTAGTTTCCCATTTATCCTCAAAACAGAATCATAAAATTAGGGCAAGATTAACTTTTTAAAAAATAATGGGTTTATGAACAATGTAATAATTAACCAATAACTATCATTTGGTTCCCCTAAGCATTTCAGCTAATGCTACAGTTATATCTAAACCATGTTTTGTTGATCATTTCTATCCATAACACTTTTTGTTTTAAACAAATTTTTTATTCCATTATTCTACTCGATCCTTACAAACATCAAGTGACAAAAATAGAACAAACATTACAATCCTCATCTTATAACTAAAGGTACTGCAGTTCAGTGTTCAAGGGACTTGCTCAATGATACTCAGTTGGTAAGTAATGGAGTCAGACTTCCTGATCCCAATCCAAAGGTTTTCAACACATCTCTTAGGAGTGCCACAAATTCATGGGATAGGGGAAGGGAAAGAGATAAGACATAATCCTCACCCTTGGTTACTTCTGTTTACTTCAGGGGTCACTTTGATGAGATTGTCAAGGCTCTGTCCCCTTTAAAACATGGAAGAAATGGTGAGGTTAATGGTAGATGGGTAACAAGTAAATAAAATGATCGATTAAAATTCAGAAATAAGCAGGGCTCAGTGGCTCAGCCTGTAATCCCCCTTTGGGAGGCTGAGGTGAGTGGATTGCCTGAGCCCGTGGGTTCGAGACCCGCCTGGGCAGCGAGACCTCATCTCTACAATAAATAAATAAATAAAATAAAATTCAGAAATAGTACAAACACTCATTGGAGATCATGCTGTTGTTAACTGAATGTTGTTAAAGGTGACAGTGCAAAAGTATGTTGAGATTTATACATCTCTGAAACTCATTGAGTCTAGACAATATTTTTATCTTACAGCCATTTGACCACTTGCAACCAGTGCACTAGGACGCTAGTTTTATGCACTTCATGCTATGTTTTTAGCCTTTGCCAAGTGCACAAAACATTTTTGCAAACCAGTCTACATTCTGTCTCAGGAACATTCCAGAAGTCATACCCTCTTAATATCAACCTCCAACACATGGAACTTTTAAACCAACTTTGGAAAATTCATATTTTGGAAAATTCATATTTGTAAAATTGGCACTCAGTAGATTTTCTATCACAAAACAGTATTAAGATTAATAAACCAATGTCTTAAAAATCCATGATATGCGACCTGATATCTGCTTCTAGTCCTTATAACTGTGTGTTAGAACTACAAATTTTGACTAGCTGTTTTGGCAACAAACAATAGGAAGATTAAAACCTCTAGAGTGCTGAAACATTCTGAAATGTAAGCAATACCGACTGTAATACAAAGCTCCTCGCAGACCCTGAAAACACTTCAGTAGTGTATCATTACCCTTTAATAGACATCTGTTTCTGATCTTAGTGGACTTTTGCTTTTCTTAGTGCATCTACATGTGTTCTTCACATACCAGCAGCACCAACAAATGATGCCCTGATCTACAGAGGATACTGCATGAGGAAAAGAACATCCACAGGAAGGTCCTTCTACACTCTTGTTTCTCCACACACTGTGACCCTGCTAAGATCATATCAAAAAATCTCTGAGGTTTTGTCTATACAACATCAAAGATACGGATCTTTGGAAGCAACCAGATGTTGACTCAAGTTTTTTACTTGTATACAGATGTCTGAGAATGTGACATCCATACTAAAAGTGGCAATAAAACATTTGGATCTTTGTCATGCAAATAATAAAGCAATTAGTCCTACAGATACAAACAGGCTACTCCAGATTACCCCTTGTTGATTTTTGCCTAAATGAAGTATGTAGGATTTGAATGCCAGTGACTAAGAAAAAAAAAATTCACAGGATGCTAATTCCAGAATTTAATATTCATTTAAAAAAAAAACCAGAACAATAAGCATTATAAGTCCTCTCTTTGTGTTGGTTGTGGAGTTTGCTTTAATTATAATCTCAAGACTTTGGTCTCTTAATATTAAATAAAGCACATAACAGTATAAGGGTCTTTAAATTTCATAGTTCATAAAGTCATTAAAGAAGAGTAGTCTAATTAATATAGTAATCTACGAATTCATGTAGTCATATTAAATAATATAATAATTTAACTGTGTAAAGCAATGGCTTATGCTGTATATTTATGGGTATTTATACATTCTTTCAAGCCACAAATAGTTTTGGAAAGACCGCGACGGGTTGGACCCTGCCCCAAGTGCTGGGATGGATGTGAACAATACAGACAGGATTAGACTTCACGAGGCTTCTATTGTAACTTGGGAAGAGGCAGGCAAACAAATAAATGAATGAACCCTTCCAAATAACAATGTAAATAATGAAGAAATAAAGAGTGCCTTGTGCCTGTAGTTTGGGGATAGGAGCAGGGGTGGTGACTTAATTATATTCTGTGATCAGAAAGGACCTGTTTGAGAGGATGACAATTGGGGGATAGGGCATTCTAGGAAATGGAAACAGCCCATGCAGAAGCCTTAGGCAGGAAAAAACCTGTACCAGAGGAAGATCAATGAGGCTAGGCTTCACAGAGAAAGTAAAAGGCCATGGGTGTGTGTGAGAATTTGATTCTCCCTGAAATGGAAGAACATCTAAAACTTTTAATAAAGAAGGAAGCATGATCTGACTTTGTTGTTAAAAGTTCTACAAAACTTCATTATGTTTAGAAAAAAGAAGTGACCACTACCATCCTTAAAAGCCCCCAGGAAGCACACACATACGAATGCAGACACATACACACACTGCACGTACACTTACACATAAGTACACACACATCCATAGACATATGCACTCATCTACACACAGAAGCACACACATATACTTATGAACAAACATTGTGCACATTGTGTAATCACACACATGCACAATGTACACACATGCAATGCACATAGAACTTTATTTTTTTATTTAAAAAATACACATGCACTCACATAGACATATACATCCATAGCAAGTCATTAGCAAAAAAGTCACACACACCTATGAATGCACATATGCACTCAAATATTTGTGTGCATGCATACACACATGAGCATAGGTATACCCACACATATACACATCAACACAGGAAGAACAACAGGTAAAAACTTGAAATGTTCTTTCTAACAAAAATTAGAAAGAAAAACATGGATTTTTCTTGGAAAGTCAAAGTAAACTAGATATTTGAACACTAAATCATTAATAAAATACAATTCAACCTGAATCTTTATGATTGCAAAAATTATTTGTATCTACTATGCCAGGCATAAGAATATTGTAAACCCTCTTTTGTAGATGAGTAAATTGAGGCACAGGGACACAGTTAGCAAGTGACAGAGGTGGAATTTGAACCCAGGTGTTTGGGATTATCTGCTCACATTCACTACCTTAGGCTACCTCTTCAAACCACCCAGATACCCAAAGAAATCGAGTCTCTCTTCTCCGCCTATTGGTTGTGAGATTGTTGCAAGCCTCAAATTCACTGGGTCGCTGTGCCTCCAACCATGACACACTGCCACAAACAGGGCAGCTTGACAGTGTGTATACCAGCTTTTCAGCTAGCTGAGCCCTTGCTTTGCCAACTGGGCCTGCAGGCATCCATGACACGGTTTAGAATCAACAAATAATATCATGTACTAAGTTAACTGAATGGAAAGGAGTTCAAGGGAAACCACATGGAATTATTTGGTACACTGTTTTCAGTAACATGCCAACAAGTTCAGTTCCAAAAACATTCCATCTGCTTGTTCAATAAAAAGCAAGAGGACATAAGCTCTCCAGACTTACTTGATGATTCATGGGTAAGAGAACACTTTTAACAAAGTATACTTTGTTAAGCTCTTCATCTTTAAATACCCACCAGTCTATGTATGCATACACATGCTACGCTCAAATACACCACATGTACGCAGCCTACACATCTATATACTCATACATACACACACCACTTATATATATACACACATGCATACACACACACTACTAATACATTTCTTATATAGACACATAGACTTAAACACACACTACTTATACATACACACACACTGCTGATACATGCACACACACATGAAATACATCATTAAGCTCAGTAGAGAAGGTCAGCAAAATTCCCATTTAATTTCTCAAAATTATTTGATAACAAACTTTATATAAGAAATAAAATGCAAGAGACTTATGTGCATCAATTGTATAGAATTGCTTAATATAGTGTGTTTGGGAAATAAATATCGGGGCTTTTTTCAGTTTTGGCTTGAATTTCTATGTACTCTCCTAATACAAGCACTCTGAATTCTAATGTACTTACAAATACCAGCCAGAGGGGTAAAGAGGAGAAAGTTTTAAATGTCTTACCTCCTAATATTTTTATTTGTTTCAAGATCCACTTTAATAAGCCCATCGAGGTCTTGTTTTCTTTAAATAAAGAAATGAATTTTAATGAATGTTGTTAAAATAAACTCTAATAATAGTTGGGAAAACTAAGAAATAGTAAACATACATTTTTGCTTTATCAATGTAAGTATTTAAAGCTATAAATGCATTATTGTTAATACTATAAGAAAAGGATTGCCAGTAGCAGGAAATTGCGGGAGGGGGTATGGATTGGCAGTAGTGGGATTCCTCTGGGGGAGGGAGGCACACCTCATCAACAAGGGTACCTGCATAACGAACATTTGTATACTTATCCCTGAATTATACCCCACACCTTTAAAGTTTAAAAAAAAATAAAGCTCTAAATGCAAATGGAAATTCTTCTCTTACATCTTGAAATAAAGATGATTTAAGACTACTTACTTGTTATCAAGAGATACTTGATCTTTTGTTTTAGTATCAGAATACACAAGTATATAAGAAACTTATTATTTAACAAAATCAGCTTTGCCCTCAGACACCTCTGGTTAGAACACTCCAAACAGGCAGCACTGAAGCAACATAAGTTAAATGAAGTCCTATACAGAATACAGAAGGAATATAACTTTCTACTCAACAAATCAGATACAATTGCCTACTCTGTTTTAATTAGTAAGAATATTGTGAAGTATAGTAATTTAATAATAATAATTTAACAATATTTTAAAAATAAGAATAATATATGCTTTTGTATGAATCAATGATCTCCCTGGCCCAAACTTTTTTATTATTGATTTCTTTATTGAAAATTTTTTTTTTTTTTTGAGTCAAGGTCTCACTCTGTCATCCAAGCCGGAGTGCATTGGCACAATCACAGCTCACCACGTCCTCCAACTCCTGGACTCAAGCTATCTTCCTGCCTCAGCCTCCTGAGTAGCTGGGACTAGAGGCCTGGGCCACCATGGCCAGCTAATTTTTATATTTTTGTAGAGATGAGGTCTTGCTATGTGGCCAAGCTGGTCTCCAACTCCCAGGTTTGAGTGATCTTCCTACCTCAGCCTCCCCAAGTGCTGGGATTACAGGCATGAGCCACTACACCAGGCCCCAAACCTTTAAAAATATCATTTGACTCAGACAGATTATGGTGAATAATAAAGGGCAAGAAAAAATACCTCACATGGTAGGGAAATTAATTATTTCCTTCCCAAGGGGACATATGGCACCCTATTAAAAATGCATGGAGTGATACCAAAGGGGCATAAGCTGAATCCAAAATAAACAGTAGGGATGGCAGAAGCACTGTGGTTGGGCAGCACTGCCAGGTCAACACAGCTCTGAACAGGAGATATGTGCCCAGATTCCCCTGGGCTGCTCCCTGAGACCACTGTCCTTAGAGAATTTGATTTACCAGAGCTCAGGGCTCACTCTTGGCTATCTTTGTCATTTTAAAAATTTGAAAATGTTATCAACACTGGGCATTCTTTAGACACAAAGAAACGCAATTCAGTAACTCATCCCTAAAAACAAATCAAAGTCCAAAGTCTGGGAGAAAAGGCAATTTACTATCAAACATTGGGGCAATTCTTCAAAAATAAGCAGTTTTACTGAGGGCAAGAAGGGATGGTAATCTGGCCCATCTTTATTGTCCAAGTTCATGTTAATAAAATTATGAAGCTAAAAGGTCAAATCATCTTATCTTCTGATTGAAACCAGAATTAAAGACACTAGTAATTCTTACCCAGTGGTATTTCCATTTCCTTTGGGATTCACTTTGCTAGCATTAGCAGGATTTTCACCTCTTTTTAAAAAAAAAGTTTAGATCAGTTTCAAAATACCATTACATTAAATACACACACCTTCCACATTCTTGATTAAATCAAGCTTTTGGAGAAAAGCATTATACAGATATTAAACTGACTTTTAATATAAAAATTGCCTATCAGAAATATTGTTTAATTAATCTTTAGAATTTTATTAGGCTATATGTAAATGTAAATTTAGATAGAATAGGACACAGAAAAGAAAAGACAAATTTGAAGATGCGATGCCTGCAATATCACTGAGAAGATCACAAAATTAATCTAAGAGAATAACCAATATTCAGAGACATCCAAACAGTTCTCACCCTCTGATGGTGTTATCAGTCCTGGCATTCACTTTGATAGCAGATTCGAGATCTTGGTTTCTTTGGAAAACAACACCAAAACTTTATATCAGTTAGGTTACATACATTTGTTCTGAAATCTGTATAAACAGGAATGTCCCTGAGTGTGGTGTTAGATGTTTCACAACCAAATGACTAGAAAGATCTTTGATGCAATTATCCTTAGCTTATCCTTATTAATTTCCACAATAGTGTTTGATTTTATCTAGTCTAAATCAGTTTAGAAAGGCTTCTCAGCATGCTTCTCTCTTTGCAATTTTGTTCTTTACATTTCTTAATTTAAATAAAAATCTGACTCATCTATTAATTATTTGAGAAAAGATGGAATAAACAAGTATGTGCTCTCCTGAAAAGGCCTCTGCACAAGTATGTTTATTGCAGCACTATTCACAGTAGCAAAAACATGGAGCCAACACAGATGCCCATCAAAAGTGGACTGGATAATGAAAATGGAAAATGGCCATAAAGAACAAAATCATGGCCTTTGCATAACCATGATACAGCTGGAGACCATCATACTAAGTGAGCTATCAAGAAATAAAGAACTGAATACTACGTGTTCTCACTTATAAGCAATCCCTGATCACTGGTCAAATGAACACAAGGTTGGAATTGGCAGATGCTGGACACTGCTAGAGCAGGGAGAGAGGGACAAGGGAGGGAACACATGGCAACACATTGGGTACCTGGTCCACTATCAGGGGAGAGAGGGCCTGCCAGAAGCCCAACCTTCACCTGCATGCAGCTTACTTGTGTAGTAAATCCTTACTTGCATCCTACAACTGTAACATGATATAACATGACATAGCATAGCATAACATAATATAACATATAGCATGGAATATGAGATTATGTAGCAGGTTTCCCTGCACCTACTTTAATGCAACTCAAATACAAAGTCTCATGAAGGAAACAACACTCATCATATTCCTTTTTCCTCACTATCTCTGATGGGTCTAAACATGCAAGACTTCATGTGTACAAAGGAAAGCATGACACTCACAATTCTGACGAGGTGTAAAAAGCTCACCTGAAAAAAGAGAATCCTACCAAGGTAGGAGATTTACTTACCTTTTCTCCTTTTGGTTGGTCCTTTGATTAATAAGACTTCCAAGGCCTTGAGTTCTTTATAACATTGGGGGGAAAAGAAAAGATAGAGCAAGAGAGAAAAAAAAGTGAGGCAAGAGCCACTCAATGATATATCCAGAATTTCTAATGACGACAGGTTTCCCACAACAGGAGCAAGATGCAATCAGTCCTAAAGGATTCAAAGTCCTTAGAAATATTTAATTCAACTGGCTGTACTCATCATGCAAATGCTTACAAGACAGGTTGATATCAGGAACCAACTAATACTCAGTTATGGTTGAATCAATTGAAACATTAAAGTTTCACCAGGTCTCCACGTTTGCTTTCTTGAGAGTGGGTTGATTGGAGTTGAACTTTCCTACATATATTGAGATACTGTCTTATTTAAGCATGAAAAATATTCACATCAGGAATGGAAATCAATTTGTCAACATTTTAAGTCTAAATATTTTCAGGATTTAGACAAGTTATTTCCCCTAAAATGTTCAAGGATGTGTTTAAAGGGTCTGGGGCCAGGTATGGTGGTTCATGTCTGTAATCCCAGCACTTTGGGAGACCAAGGTGTGAGGATGGTTTGAGCCCAGGAGTTCGTGACTCCAGTAAGCTATGATTGCATCACTGCACTCCGTCCTGGGTGACAGAGCAAGGCCCTGTCCCTAAAATTAAAAAAAAATCAATAAGTAAGTAAAGAAAGTCTCTTTAGTCACCTTGGGAAAGTTGAGATAACTCTATTATGGCTTCAGAACTTTATATAAAAGGTCCACATGGAATAAAACTTTCATATATCAATGACTAAAATGTATTAGAAATCACAAAAACTAATTCCTCTAAATTTTTCAAGTTTCCAGGTGTTACACTTTGCCATTCCTCCTGTCTCTGACTTGACCATGATAAGACTGTTGACATTTTAAGTTCTTTCAATATAAGAAAGAAGGAAGAGAGGATGGGAAAAATGCAAACTAACTAGAACTATTTTCCTACCACATCGATCAATTATTCCTGCATCAAAGCCTGGTTGTTATCAAGCTATTCCAAATTACAAATCACTTCTCTTTTCTTTTTTCCTAGTCCACAAATGATATACTTGTGATGCTCATTCTACTTTTTCTATTATCCATCACTTTTGTGGAACCCAAACTCCATTACTTATTTATTATTATTATTTTTATTTTTTTTATTTTTATTTTTTTTGTAGAGAGGAGGTCTCACTATGTTGCCCAAGCTTGTCTTGAACTCCTGGTCTCCAGCAATTCTCTCATCATGGCCTCCCAGAGTGCTGGAATTTCAGATGTGAGCCACTACACCTAACCCATTTAAAAAGATATCTGAAATGTCATCTATTCCTACAAAGCTCATACAGCCATGTACTGTTTTTTTACCTTCATCTATTCTACATTTGAAAAAATATAGCCTGTAGTATGTTGGCATGTTTACATTATTATAATATGTTGTTAATAAGCAATAATACCACATAGACTTTGTTAAGTGTTCTACATCAGAGAGGGTTGAGAATGCATCTGCCAAGAGTGACTTGGAAAGCTAGAATGTCATTCTGGGCATAGACTGGCACAGATAAATGGTTTTTAAAAATAACTGTGGCAATAGAAATCATTCTCATGTTAGAAAGGCAAGTTTAATGCTAACCAAATACAAAGTAAACAGCCAATCTGGAGGGAAAAAATAGTAGTGATCTCATAAATCCTTACCCTTTGTCATTCTTGACTAGTCTGGGATTTTCTTTAATGAAACTGTCAGGGCTCTGGTTTCTTTCAACAAGAAAAAATAATGTCAATAAAGTAAGTCAATTTTCTAGCATGTCAGCATCAAGCTAGAACTATAAGTTAACCTCTTAAATGCTATCAGCTCAGTTACTAAATATTAATTTACCCATTTTATGATACAAAATAAATAAAAGCATGCCTTTTGATACTAGGATATTTACAAACAGATGCGAAGAGATATACATATGAAGTGACTCAACCAAAATTCCCACTGAATAGTGCCTTAGTACATTCTTCAGTGGTGAGGGGCAATGCTCCCAGTACCTAAATGTCTTACAGTAAATATATGTAGTTCATAAACCAACCTATTGTCTACTGCTTGAAACAGCTAGATGTATTTCTTTACATTTTAGATACAATGGGGAACTTGGAGATCATCTAGATTACACCCTTCATTTTATGGGATGAGGAAACAGAGGTCACCCAGATTGATATTGGTGGCAGTGTTGGTGGCCAGCACCAAGATACTCACTATCTGTAGACCCTGTTCTGAAGCCTGTTCCACCAGCCTGCCTGACCCTTTTCCTGAGAAGGAGGTCTCTCCCCAGAAAAGATCATACAGTCTAGGACTCAATAAAGGGGTCTGTCTTAATAAAACCTTACCCTTTGCCATCTTTATCTGTCCGGGTATTCACATAGATGAGACTTTCAAGGCTTTTGGCTCTGAAAATACACAGGAATTCAAATAAAAGACAATATATTGAAATGAAATCTTGTTTCTTGAAAGGTCAGATGCAATAAACAGTCTCCGTGAGTTGCTCATTTACTCTTATTGAATAGAAGAACAGAAATCCTTCTGGGGAATTATGTCTGAACTAGATGTACAATGCTGAGAGCACCGCCCCATCTGCTAGTACATTTCCGTGCCAGAGGATACAACCCCCTTGCAGTTACTGTCTGAAGGAATAAGATAAGCAATCTGCGAGATAACATTTTCAGATTACAAACAAATGCACTTACCTTTTCTCTGTTTCCTCTGTCTTTGGATTTGCTCTGAAGAGACCATCAAGACCTTGATTTCTTTAAACGTATTGATTAAAAAACCTCATCAGTGGTAATAATAGATGCTTAACTCTTAAGAACATACACCAGTTTACAAGTAAGACAGGAAATAGAAGCTAGTTGGGAAAGATGAGCCACAATTTTTGAAATTGGCTTTATTCCAAACAGGTATTTTCAAAAACACAAAATTCTAATTGTAGTGGGTCTTAGAGAAAATAAAACACAAGATATAAACTGGGGATCTTCAAGTCACAATAGGGCCATAGACGTGCTGCTTGGGTTCATGGAGTGTTTCGATTTTTAAGGTGAGCCAGTGTTTACCAAGGCAGCCATGGCACATGGAAACCAGGATTCTCAGGAACTCCTACAACTCTGGGCTCAGGGCATCCTCAGGTGGAGTGGATATGTAGCTGGGTGTCTGACAGGGCATTTGCTCTCCTTTTTGCTCCAGTTCCCTCACTGCCTTTGTTTTATATAGTCAGCACCGTTCACTCACTCATACCTGCCAGGCCTTGGTGGGCCATGCAGTCTACAACTCTTGACCTAAAAGCCCTCTCTTTGCAAATGAGGAAACCAAAAAGCAGCAAATTCAAGTAATAATTATTGTCAAAGAAGATATGAAAGACATTTTGGCTATTCAGTGGCCCACACCTGTAATCCCAGGATTTTGAGATGCCAAGGTGGGACAATTGCTTGAGCCCAGGTTCGAGACCAGCCTGGCAATATAGCAAGACCTTGTCTCTACAAAAAAATACAAAAATTAGCCAGGTGTTATGGTGCATGCCTGTAGTCTTAGCTACTCAGGAGGCTGAGGTGGAATGATTGTCTGAGCCTGGAAGATCAAGCCTGCCGTGAACTGGAATTGTGCCACTGCCCTCCAGCCTGGGCAATAGAGCGAGACCCTGTCTCAAAACAAACAAAAAAAGTCTCATGATCCTCAGATCAATTAATTCATATGCAGTTTGCTGTGTTTTACCCTTCTCTTTGGTCACCACTTAGTAGGTTGTTATGAAAGTTAACAGACAGCTAGCTACCAGTGTAACACCTCTAACACAAACCTCCGTGATCCACTTTTAGTGTATTTCAAGTTATGCAGTTATTTTTGATTCAAAATAAGGAGATAATGCTAACTAACATAATACAGTGTTTTTTGTGATAGTGAAACTAAAAATATTCAGTGATCAAACCAAATTCTGTTTACATGTTAGTGAATTAATATTTTAAGAAGAGAAATGTGGTTATTTACATAAGTGCCTTAATAAACAAATGTGGTATGAAAATCAAAGACACTTTACTACTAGTGTCTTTAGAATTTAATAACCATTCATCACCATGATGAGATAATGATGATTTCTGAAAGCTTTTAATTCAAGATTTATAGAATATTTTTGACTAGATTGGTGTGTGGATTCTCGTGCTCAAAGACTGAAAAGACATAAGAAGTCACAATATGCAATTCACTAACAAAGCAAAAAAATAAACATTTGGAAATCTTACCTCTTTAAGCTTTTGTTCATTTTGATGAGATTATCCAGTTCTTCACTATGGGAAGAGAAAAAATATCTCTCATTAGTGAAAGCCTGTCTACAGTCAAAGGGTAAATTCATCTTAAAGCAACTCTGAGTCCTCTCAAATATAACACATGCCCCACCTTTACCGCTGCGAAGATCCTGCTTATCTTTCAAGGCCCATCTCCAACCCCACTCTCTCCAAGAAGCCTTCTCAGTCCTCCAATTAAATAATGCCCCCTGCATTTTAGAAACCCTGGCAGTATTGGACTTGTCTGCGTCTTCCTTTATGGTAGTTCTGTTACCATACTCTGTATTACAGCCATCACTTGTCTTGTGTTAATGTGTTGGCCCCTACACAAGCACACACCACTTAAAATGTAAACTGTATTTTACATGGAAATCTCTTGTTTTTAATAGCCTCTTTCATATGATAGATGCTTAATATACATTTCTAATTGAATCAACAAAAGATAGGTGCATGGACTGATTATGGCTTTGCACAATGTTCTTGCACAAAGTAGCTACTAGAAAACGCATGTTCATCAGTAAGTTTGGCTTCTTTCTTGGACTCTACTCCTACCTTGTTTCCAGGTCAGCTAAATTTGCTAGCCCATTTCCACATTTAAGAACTGCAAAGCCCTTTCTGGTTGCTTCTTCGGGAGCAACCTATTTAAGCTAAACCGCTGGGTTCAGGAATTTTACTTAAATCACATGGGCCAGACTCTCTCCCCAGAGCAGGCAGCCTGGGTGGGGAGGCATGGGGATTTCATGAGCACGTTCTTGGTCTCTTCTTCTTGTTCCCTCTCACAGCACGTCCTCCTCTAAACTTTTCTATCCACTACTTCCCCTCACCCCCATTTCTCTTGCCCTCCAGTTTTTCCATTCACAAATCTTGGTTTTCCCTTCCTCCTGCTTTAGAATCATGTTTTCCAAGCTTTCTGAACATTATTCTTTCTCCCTGAGTCATCTCTGGTATTGACCAGAGGGTTGTAAGACCCAATAACTCAGTAATCACACATTCAGACTCTCAAGTCAAGGACACCTGGAATTCAATTCAGGATCCACCACTTATTAATTGGTGACATTACTTAACCTCCTATTAACTCGATTTTCCCATCTGTAAAAAGAGAATACTAATCATACCCACGTCAGAACATAATTGATAGCTAATTAATACATTGTGTCTAGTACGATGCCTAGGAAGACATACATTTTTCATTAGTTTTGGCCATTATAATAAATAGTGTCTGGTCAATGCTACATTTTTCATTTAATAAATGCTATATTTATTAAATGCATTTAGAAACATCAAGACTTTGACTTAGCCTTGAAAAGATATAATCACTGAGTCACTCATGAGCTTGAAGACATCTGTACAACACTATTGCCAAAATAGCTACTGTCAATGGCTATCCTCTCAGAGCCACTAAAATATGTTGAATTGGTGGCCATCATATAGATGAATGCTTTCAAGTAATCTTAGGTATTTAATGGTGGGATTGAAGGCTGGGTTTAAATAATGAAATACAAAAGTTGCTGCCTCTGACAAAAAATTGATTAATGCTCTATCCCTGTGTGTGACAAACACTACCCAGTCCCTTGGTACAGAGGTTCATTATTGTTTCTTGCTTGAAATTCTACCTGCCAAGCCTGAGATTGTGAATCTGTTCTTGTCCCTAAGGAAAAGAGTAAACCCCAGAATCCTGTAAATTTTAGCCCCAGACCTTTCTGACTGGCATGAGTCACAATAATGAGATTATCAGGACTTGGGGTTGCTCATGTCTATCTCAAGAAAATTAGCATAAATCATGAGAAGACACTCTGTGGCAAATTAAATAAAATGAATACTGTATTCCAAATAAAGAACTTGAGCTTTCAAAATGACTTTAAATTGATGAAAGCGTTGGATATTAAGTTTCACCGTCACATTTGCAACAAATTAAATGCTCTTAATCAGATAGCAGTAACACTCCATTTCACAAAGAGCAGTTTGGATAAATAAAGCTATTTCTAGTCCCTGTGGAAAGCCCACTGTAACAATACTCTGTGATGACTAAGTCGATGAACAGATATTCTCCCTGGTCTCTCTGTCAAGAAGCAATATCTGTGATGAATGCACCTGGCTGTAGAATTCATGCATTGTGGTGACTAGGGAACAGGGATAGGATAGTTAAACTAACTGCCACTCTCACAGTTTTTTGTTTGATTTACACCAAACCATAATTTCCCTCCAGCATCACTCAAACGTCTCAATTGCCTACCAAAAAACTGTCCAGTCCCTACTGAAAACAAAATCATTACCTCCAACAAAAACAAATCAATACAATTAGAGATCTTAACATTTAGATGAGAAAAGAAGTGGAAATGAAACATTCAGGATACTTGCTACAGTGTCCATCCAGGATTCAGAGCTCTCCTGTTTTTGTTTTTTTTGTTTTTTAAATGAATTTGCACAGAAAAGCCAAGTGTTACTTTTGTTTCTTCTCGCCAGTTCTTATAATGGAGACTGCAATCTCTGGTAACATTCTTAGCATTATTAAGTTCCATTAAACAAGGGACATTTTTCAGGGCTTTGGATTTAAATGATGGAATATTTATACTCAAGGTTTCTCAGTGCTCATCATTATTTTACCATAATCTATCATATCAACTACTTTGTGCAAAGCACCATGTCAAACACTGTGAATGATGAATAAGACAAAATATCTGCTCTAAGAGATTATACATAGAGACGATGACACATTTACACAAGCAACATGAAACAAATTCAAAGATGATTCAGTATTATCAAAAATGAATACTGAGGCTCTAGTAGTTTAGAGAGGCAGAAATCACATCTCACTAGGTCACTCAGAGAAGACTCGATAGAGAAGGTGATATTTGGTCTGGATCTTGACAAATGGGCAGGACTTGAAAGGATTGATACAATGGCTTGAGGCTGGAAAAGGCCCCCGTGTGGCATAAACAAAGGCCAAGTATCTGGAAACTATAGAAAGGAAGTGGTTTCATTTGATGTTGAATGTATGGCAAATATAGGAGCGAAATCAGAAATTATTCTGGAATGTTAGGCTAGAGCCAGGTTAGCAAGGGCCTTGAATGATATTATATGCAATTGAATGGGAAAATAGGGAGCTGGGGCAGTGAATGAGTAGAATCTTTAGAAATGGATGATGGGTGGTAACTAAAACTGGATAGCTACTCTAGTCACCTATGTGAGCATCAATGAGAGTTCGAACCAGGGGGAGTCTGTGTGGGTGTAAGGAGTATTTTAGACATTTAATCCATGCATGCCTGCTAATGTATGGGGGACCCCAAAAAACAGAATTATTTTTGGAATGGTAGGCTTTTCCTGCTAGAGAAACCAATTATCATCAGTGTACCTGCTACCTTTGCTGTGCGGCTGCATTCAGCTTCAGTGAATTTGTGTGTGTGTGTGTGTGTGTGTGTGTGTGTGTGTGTGTTTCTTTTAACGTGTTTGCCCATCTCATGATGGGTGATTTACAAGTGCACCTGCCCACACCACACTGAGTGTTCAGCAGTTTTTGTCCAAAATGGCATGACCCCTATGCCCCGCCCTCCCTATTTACCCAATCTCACCCTGAACTCCTTTTTTGATGCTGTTGTTTCCCTGCCTTGATGAAAAAAAAGCCCTCAAAGGAAATGTCTTGCCAATATGGACGAAATGAAACCAAAAAACGGCAGAAGCACTTAAAGGTATCCAAATTGGCAAGTTCCAAAACTGTTTTGGGGCAGTAGAAAAAGTATCTCAATAGGGATATTTCATCAAACAGAGAGTACGTGAAACTGACTGAAGTTTAAACATGCAAGAATAAATACACAATTTTTTATTTTTTATTTTATTTTTTATTCTTTTGAGTTGGAGTCTCACTCTGTCACCCAGACTGGAGTGCAGTGGCCGCTCCCACAACCTCAACCTGCTGGGCTCCAGCGATCCTTCCACCTCAGCCTTCCAAGTAGCTGGAACTACAGGCGCGCACTACCACGCCCAGCGAACACAATATTTTATAAATAAATTTCAGGTTTTGGGGGTCTCCCTCTTGAATATAGGAGGAGAGCGCTACAGAAGAATCAAGAATGATTCCAGAAAGGTGAGCCTGCACAATGAAAAATAGAGAAGTCAGGAAACAGCACATTGGGGAAGGAAATTGGATATGGCCTGGGGCATCCCGAGTGGAGGGTACAGGGGAGACAGATGGATAGAGCTCTGGACCTGCAATGTGAATACAAGACTGGAGATTTGAGATGAGGCTTGACAGCTGAGGTCACTGGAATGAATGCAATTACCAGAAGAGGCAACAGCATAAATGTCAGCACCATCACTTTTCAGGGGTACTTATCTAGAAATACAAATGCTTTCTTCTTGTAAAATATATATGATAAACATTGTGTTCATGTTTGGAACTCTTAATGGTACTGGTTAAGCATTTTTGAAACACAAAGAGAAGAAGAAAAAAAAACGAGCTCAAAAGCTCTGATGTCTCACCCTTTGTCAGTTTTCTGAAGTGAAGTGGCCACTTTGACGATGTTATCGAGATCCTGACTCCTTCAAACAATGAAAAATAAATACAGGTCAATGATAGCAGAACTATCCTTGAAGGAGCTAAGATTTCTCATCTGTTTACAGTGAAGAAAACAGATCATTCAGGTGATGTTCAGCAGAGTTTACTGAGTTTAGCAGAAAAACAAAATAGTTCTATTAAATCAACTCATGGCACACAGAGACACCTCCCCAACTCTCTCTCTCTCTCTCTCTCTCTCTTTCTCTCTCTCTCTCACTCACACACACACTCACACACACACACACCAATCGTTGTCATTCCACCTGGGTATTGGTTCTGCCATCTAGTGCTCACTGAAATAACTACATTTTATCCTAAGGACTTGTATTGGCAGCTCCTAAATTCTATGCTAAAGAAAAGTCATGGAAGCTGAGCTCGGTGGCTCAGCCTGTAATCCTGCGCCTTTGGGAGGCTGAGGTGAGTGGATTGCCTAAGCCCGCGGGTTCAAGACCCGCCTGGGCAGGTGAGACCTCATCTCTACAATAAATCAAAAACTTAGCCAGGCGTAGTAGTGGACGCCTGTAGTTCCAGCTACTTGGAAGGCTAAGGCAGAAGGATCGCCAGAGCCCAGCAGGTCGAGGCTGTGGTGGCTGGGAGCGGCCACTGCACTCCAGTCTGGGCAACAGAGTGTGACTCCAACTCAAAAAAAAAAAAAAGGTCATGGAGAAGAAAATCCAGTTAATTGCATAAGTAGACAGTTTGAAAGTTTTTTTTCTGCTGGAGCCAAGGACTTTAAGCAACAGACCCAGACAATTAATTAGTCCTTCTCATCCTAAAGGGGTAAAAAGATGTATCTTCTCAGGCGATAGAATAGGTGGAAGCACCTGAGACATAAAGTTGGATCATTCTAATCTTCTTAGATCATGAAAAGAAATAATTAGGAAAATCCTTACAGGTCCCCTGCAATTAAGAACTGTGTTTCACAAACAGCCCAGTATGGTGGCTCATGCCTGTAAACCCAGCACTTTAAAAGGCCTAGGTGGAAGGATTGCTTGAGCCCAGAAGTCGGAGACCAGCCTGGGCAATATGGAGCTCCCATCTCTAAAAAAATGAAAAAAAGTAGCCAGGAGCGATCGAGTGCATCTATAGTCCCAGCTATTCAGGTAGGAAGGCTGAGGAGGAAGAACTTCCTGAGCCTAGGAAGTTGAGGCTGTGGTAAGCCATGATAGTGCCAATGCACTACAACCTGGGGGCCTGAGTGAAACCCACACTCAAAAAATAAAACATTTAAAAATTACACAAATTTTAAAATAATGCTGTTTCACAAACAGTATCTCACAGAAAGTTGATACGATTCCATGAAGAAAGAATTTGTAGGCAAATTTGGGAAGAGTACCCTACTTTTGGTGATTCAGAATACACATAATCACAATGTAAGTTCTGAGAAGTCCTGTAGGAGAGAACTTTAATTGTGCATCAGACACAATTAGAACCCTACTTTCACAGAGTACATATTGACATTTTGTAGCACAAGGAACACAGTTTGGGAAATGCCAAGAGATGCTTAAGTTCTTAGGAGCAAAGAAAACACAATTTTCCCCAAAGGTAGAGAATTCCTGTGATGTGTTGAACTGGGACTATTCTGAGAGACAGAGGGAATTTTTAAAAATGAAAAGCATATACGTTTCAGAAAATTTTCATCAAAAAAATTTGAAAATTTGGTTTACTATGTTGGTAGACATAAAATAATATTGCTTTAAAACTATTTTCAAAAACAAAATTTAAAAAAAGAAGAAAAGCAAGATATACCCAAAACAAATGCTAGACTAGATAGGACATGCAAGACATCAGGTATAAATCAAGACTCTCATGGGGAAGCCAGACATTTGGGGAACGATACCTTATCCCAAAGGCATCAGCACACTTTCTGTGCCTCTTCCTGATACTGCAGAGGGAGCTGGACATGACTTTGTACAGCCAAAACCAGACAAAGTTTTTGTAGCACGAGCTCAACTAAACGACTGTATTTCCACCTCTTCATTCATACAGCCACACCAATAATGTCATAGACAGTGGGGCAAATACTGGAAATAAAGAGCAAATGACCTTTTCCTGTCTTCCAGGGGTTTGCTCTTACCCTGTTATCATGTTCAGAGAATTTTGGTTGCTTTCTTAATGTAAAGCTTAGGATAGAAATAAAAGCAACAAAATTCTGTAAGTACCTATAAAAACATTTACTACCCACTCTATTGAAGTCGGCTGGAACTTTAATTTTATCTATTTTATTATTAATTGTTTTGTATTTTTAAAGTGTTCTAATAAAGCGAAGTTCAGCATTGCTACAAGTACATAGATATAGAGACCACTTTACCTTATATTTCTTTCAGCAGATCTGCTGGTTTCTGTATATATACCAGGTCTAGATGGAGACATCTGCCTATATTTTTCAAGTTACAGATAATGTGTTAGGTAAGAAAACATTTTTTGTTAAATTTAAATTTATAAGAAAAATTTATGTTCAAAAAGATCAGCATGTGTTGGAATCTCACTACTACTTGAGATAACAAACAACTCTTTAGGTTGGCTAGAATTCAAACATCTCTTATCTGAAATTTGGAAGAGTCCAATTTTGTTACTGTCACATATTTTTTAACCACTAGATATATCTAGAAATATCTATATATCTAGATATATCTAGGAATATCTGTTCTAAATATGTTCATTATATTTTTTTTGGTCTCCATCAATAAAGCATTTTCACATTTATCTCTATTAGCAATGATGCAATATTTTAAAATATTAAGATTTATTTTTGTTATTAGGCATCAAACAAATTTTTTTTTCTTAAAGACTTATTCTGGGCAACCCCCTCAGGTCCCCTCCCCATGGGAGCTTTTCTGTCCTCTTAATAAATCCTGCTTTCTAAAAAAAAAAAAAAAAAAAAAAAAGACATCCCATTTGAATCCCATCAAGGAATTTATTTGGTCAGATAAGATGGGGGAAGTAAGTCTATATTTCAGGTACACTTCCACATTGAAAATGACCACACTGGGCTGAAAAAATTACATTTTACTATATTCCGTCACAATTTGTGATAAAAGACTTTGCTCTTTTTTCTAAGTATCTGGTTGACCTACTTACACATTCTTACTTGCTCTCAAGAAGCTATATTCAGCTATTTTTTTGTACTCCTGAGGACATGTGTTAATTACATAGGAAACACTTCCCTTTCAGATTCTTTCATTAAAATCATCTTGCTGTGATTAAAGCCATCAGGGTTTAAAAACATGCAAGATGTCCCAATTTTATTTTTCAGATCATTGGTGGAAGAAATAAATTAGAATAGTAAAAATGGACTAGGCCAGTTCCTATGAAGTTTAGCTTCTTATAATCTAAACAAACTTACAGCTCCAGTGTTGCTGATTTTAGGTTAGAATTTAGGTGGTACTTAGCACAATTACTTTTAGCCCCTTAAAAAATACTATTCAAATTAAGATTTAATTGCTTAATACTTGAAAAGTTAAAGGAAAAATAGTGTAAGATAAAAAGCTTGAAAAGTTATTTTTAGGAATAATTATAATAATTGTGCAAATAAGCTATAAATCTGATCTGTATTTTTAATTAGTTCAATGAAGAAGTATTCTCTTGACTCATTAAAAGAAAATGGTATTCTCATCCTAAGGACAAAATTTCAAAGATCCTGTGAAGTTTCACTGAATAGAAATGCAGACCTGGGGTTTTAACCAACAGGATGACACTTCATATGTAGTCTTGCTGCCTGTCAGCATTTTCTAGCTGAAGTTACCCTCTTCCTGAAGAATATTTCTATGATTGTGTCTTACTAAAGAATAACTCTATAATTGTGTCTTATTGAAGAAAAGCTCTATAATTGTGCCTTACATGGTGTCAAAAAAATCACCATCAAAGAACAAAAATACAAAAGAGTCAACGGCAGGCAATCAAGCAAACCTAATGCATTCAGTCTTCATTGAGTTACCATTTTTTAATCTCATGGTAATAATGGAAATGTGGGATGTACATCTTGAAAATTTGTCCAAGATACATTAAACAGTTTCACAGAAATGCTTGAGAAGATTTTCAGATCTCTGAATTTGTTTCTAAGTATTAATGATAGAGTGACCGAGATTCAAAGATGAAACGCAAGTCTGTTTTTCCTGATTCTGAGACAAATTAATTAGAAAATTTTTCAAAATTTGTGGTAGTTTTGAAATCAACTATAAATTTCTTAGCTAAAAAAAAAAATTTCAAAACTACACAAAGATATTTCTAACCCAAGTGAGGGTTTGAATGGTAACAAAGTCTCAAGAACATCTTTCATCAGAATATGTATCTTAATGGGAAACAACTTATATATTGTTTAATATGGCTTATATGTGTTATATATATATCCCAAATACATATATATATATATATATGTTTCTATTTATATATTAGGAGTCAATGTAAAAGAAGCCTATGCACACTTCTGCACATGAATATTGTTCTATTTCTATCTTGAAGATATATTTCCTTAAGACCAAGTAATAGCCATAAGTATTCAAAGGAAAATATAAATATACATATGTGTTGACAAATACAATTAGAAAAAGTTCCACAAGTGTTTTTTTAGTGACTGTGCACATAAAACATGCCCTTGCTTTGCTCCAAGCAGGTCATAATTCATTTACTTTTATTTCTCTTGAACTTCATTTTGGCAGGAAATTCTGAGGCAACCAGGTCTCTTACCTTTTGTCCTGTCTCAGCTGGTTAGGAGAAGTCAAAGGAGAGCTGGGCTTTGGAGGTATTGGAGGGTGAACAGCTGGTTCCCTTTAAAACAGAAAACAGCAGTTCATTTCACCATGGAAACACGGCAACTTTAGCATCTATTAACCAAACACATTTATTGCCTACTGGAAATATCTCTTGCATGTTACCACCCCCATGTGTGAGGTACCTAAAAGGTAGAATCCATGGAACACTAAACTTTAAAGAAGTCAAATATTTAAAATATGGGTATTTTAAAAGTTCATTTAATGAGATTTTTTTGAACTCTATCCTCTTTCACTACAGTTTGAACTATAATATGCTCTTTAAGTAGTTCTATATTTTGCTAGTATGACTAGCTCAAGTCACAGCATTTGGGGTCAACAGTGCATGAGCACTCTAAATGGCTCTTGGGCATTAACATATAAGCTTCTTTAGGAATTACATCAACTATCAGGCTGCTATGGAAACAGCAGCAAAGGTTTTTAATTTCAGAGATCTCAAGGTAAAGTTGACTTGAAGCACTTAACTAAATCTGACTTCAATATTGTCAGCACAGGCCAGTTTGATGTTAGCAAACTGTGTGTGTGTGTGTGTGTGTGTGTGTGTGTGTGTGTGTGTGTGTGCATGTGTGTGTGTGTTGGTGTGTCTGTGTGTGTGTTGTCAGACTAAACTTTCCATTGAAGCACTAAGGTGGGTAGTCTCTAAGTTGATTTAATGACTGCAGAGATGGAAATGGGCAATTGTGTGCACAATTTGGGTGGAGTCAGCACCTTTCTAAGAGCATGTCACTCCCCACCCTCCCACCACTACTACCCCAGCTGTTTTCTGTTTGTCCTTGAAATAAACTTTGTACCTAGCATGAGAACTCTTATGATCTCTTATATCCTTCTGGTTTCTGTAGCAAGGTAAATAAATGTGTGGTCTGGAGTTTGCCTGAATTGATAGCTGTGTGGTAATGAGTTAACCTGATTCTGTTCTTCATCTATAATAACTCCTCTAATAAGATTGCTGGGGTATTGTCAGGCCTGAATGAGATTGTGCTTTTATTCAAGAAACATTTATTAGTAGTTCTCTATGTGCTAGGCATTCTGTGAGCTGGATAGTATGCTTGTTCTTAAAAGGCTTTCAATATACAAATAAATACATGTCAAAAGAAGAAAAATTATATACAAAAAATAAAACAGGAGTAAGGAGACATAGACTGATGGGGTGGGAACATTATTTTATTTAGAATGGCCTGGGGAAGGGCTCTTTGTAAGGTGAAATTTGAGCCAAAACCTGAAGCAAGTGATAGAATGGGCCATTAGGAATTCTGGAGGGAGAGTATATACTTATGGGCATCCTTAGCTTAGAGATGGTATTTCATGTTTGAAACTTGTTGAGATCACTAAGGGAGTCAGTGTAAGTAGAGATGAAAAGAGGGTCAAGAGTTTTACCCAGCCGGGCATGGTGGCTCTTGCCTGTAATCCCAGCACTTTGGGAGGCGGAGGTGAAAGGATTGCCTGAGCTCAGGGACTGGAGACCAGCCTAGGCAACTTGGCAAGACATCGTCTCTACAATAAACCAAAAAATTAGCTGGACATGGTGGCGCATGCCTCTAGTTCCAGCTACTTGGAAGGCTGAGGTGGAATGATCACCTGAGTCCAGCAGGTCGAGGTTATGGTGGTGCCTGTTAGCATACCACTGCACTTCAGTCTGGATGACAGAGTGAGACTCCAACTCAAAAAAAAAAAAGTTTTACCTTCCAGCTCTGCAATATTTAGAAGTCAAGAATATGAGGTCCAAATAGCAAAAGTGTCATGGAGGCCAAGAAGGAAACAAAATAAATAGGGGAGTGTGGTATCCTGGAGGTCAATTGAGGAAAGTATTTCATGGAAGGAGTAAATGGCCATTTAAAATGTCACTGTTAAACCAAATAAAAAATAAAAACTGGGAAATTACCATAGTTTGAGCAACATCGTGCTCTTTTGTAACACTGATTAGAGTAGGTTTGGTGGAGAAGTGGTAGGAAAAACATTCTAAGAGTGGATTTAGGATGAAATGGGAAGCAAGAAGGTAGAGACATAAATGTAGGTGTTTTTCAGTGAAAAAGAAAGAGAGAAATGGGTAGTTGCCTAGAGGCTGACGGGTCATGAAAGGTTACCATTGTGTGTAGATATGATGGTGAAATGCTCCAGTGAGTCATTGATGCAGGAGAGTGAGGGGCAAGTCTCTAGACAGTTATCTTCGAGAAGTCATGGGACCTAAGGCACAAGTGGGGTGGATGGTCTTAGATGGAAGAACAGAGGGCTCGTTCACAGTAGCAAGAGGGAAAGGGAGTAGATGGGTACAACTGAGTATGTTAGTTGATTTCTAGGAAAGCAAGAGAGTGAGTGGACCCAGGAAATGCGACATGGTGATAATAATAATAACATACCACTACATGGAATTATTATGTGCCAGGAACTTGTATAAGCACTTTATGTATATTAGCTAATTTAATCTTCACTGCAATCCCAGAGACAAGTTTTATTCTCCTTCCCATTTTACAAATGAAAAGACTGAGCCACAGAAAATGAAAATGAATATTTCATGATGATACAGCTTGCAAGAGGCAGAGTAGGGAATCTGAACCAGGAAGTTGGGCTTCTTAAGACCCCTTAAATTGCACTGTCACTCAAGGGATCCTTGGGAAGCACCAATGGTTCAGTTGAGGTTAGTGTTCATGGAACTAAAATCAGGTTATTTGGCATTGTTTTCTCTTTTCGGCTGTTTGGAAACAGGGACAGAATAGAGAGAGAGTTGGATTTAACTAAGTTTACAATTCAGCCAAGTTAGTGTAACAAAGGGGACAATAACAAGGGATTGGAGAGGTAAGCAAGGAAGTTATTATGATGAGGTACAGTGAAGTCTAAGGTGGGTATGGAGGCAAATGAGGATATGAGGAATGAGGACTATGAAAAAGATGGACTAAATGGACTGGTGATTGTGGTAAGGCTGAAGAATTACTGGAATCAAAGGACTGTAAGAAGTGAGCACAGCAGATAGAAAGTAGAAGCCAGAAAGGGAAAGCTTTGAAACTGACATTATTTTAGAGTGTGTGGTTACTTACAAGAGCAAGGTCTATGGGTGGCTGAGGTAGGGTGAAGGACAAGATCACTGGAAAGAAGGCCATGAAAGTGAGAGGCCAGGGTGAGCATGGTGCAGACTTCAGGTGACCTGACTGGGATTCTTCTGGAGAACCATGGACACAAGGATGGAGGACATAATGGAATTAGTCCTGAGTGTGGTGCTGAGACTCTGGGTGATGCACAGTGGAGCACCAAGTACAGTGGTCCTCCTGTCTCTTGTGTTGATGGTTCATTGAAGCCAGAAGAGGGTGTGCAAATCCCTAGAGGACTGCCTACTTACAGGAAGTGCTCAACAAGTGTCTTTTGCTGTGGTGATTTTCACCCCACATGACCCCAGTGCTGCAGCTACATTAAACCCTTATACTTCCAAAACCCACTCACCCCTATATTCTCTCTCCCCTCTTCTCCCTTTCACCTGGATACTACCCCTCTGTCCTTCAGACCTTGACTTAGGAATTGCTGTCTTCAGTGTTATCCAAAACTATGTTGGGTACATCCCTACATTTTCCCAGCAGCAACCCTATTCACAGCAAGTGTCACAATACTCTGGATGACACATAATATTCTCTTTCCACGGTGGAATGAAAGTTTCTAAAATGTAGTTACATCCCAACTATTAGGATTGTATATAATAGAGGTGTCCAATGTATTAAATGAAGGAAGGAGCAAGTGATTGACTGAATTTCTGTTCCAGGAGAGGAGGAACTGTGTTTTGAAAAGGAATCTGTAGTTTTCCAAATCTGTGCAAGTTTAGTTTTCTCACAGGAGAAGTCAACTGGTGATTCCATTACAGAAAACCCGGTAGGTATTCCTGTGCTGGGTGATATTTCTGGAAAAACAATTTACATGGAAATAACCTCCCCATTCTGGCTTAGTGTCAGATTCTATAGTTAAAGAGTATTGTGTTGGTATCACTACCAGCTTCTTGTTTCAGAAAATATCCTTACATTGGGTATCTGTGTCAAGTGAGAAAGTCTTTAGTGTATCCATGTGGGTTAGCTGATTATATGCTTTCTTTCCAGAGATGGAGAAAAAGGAAGAAGATGGTCAGTCCTGGGTAATAATGGGGCTGGATTGTTATACAGCACACTGAATAGCCCAGGACAGGCAGGAGAGACGTAACAAGATGAAAAGGAGAATTCCAAAAAGTAGAAATGGGATGGTGCCAAACTTGCTTATGCCAAAGCATGCTGATGAAATGCTCAATTTCGTCCATTGTAGAATGTCTAAGGCCTCAAAGAGGTGGATAGATAATGATCGAGTGGGTCTGGGAGGTAGTGATGGGTAGAGATAGATCTGAGATGGTTTTTCTTTCTCAGGAAAGAAAAAGTGGGTATGTGGTCCTGAAGGCCAGGAAAATCAGAAGAGTGCATTTATGTCCAAGAGTGATTCATTTACACCTCTGCAAGGCAAGGAGCCAGACGATACCATGTTGACTTCAATTTACCTCAAAGGAGCTTTCATTTGTGTCTCTGCAAGGACAGCCACAGATGACAGAACCCAAGCCCTGGGGCAGGGTGGGGGTGAGGGGACCATGAGAGAAGTCATTCATGCCGTGCCAAGAGCATGATGTGATGCCAAGCAGGGGGATTAATATGCAAGAGTGAGGCAGGAAATTGTGGGCCGGAACGTTTTGAAGAGAAGGAAAGAGATGTTCATTGGAAGGATCTTCAATGAATTCTGCTTTGAGATGTGCTGTTTAAGCTTGAGGGAGTTGATCCTAACTCTGCCCTCTGCCCTTCCCCCAATCCCACAAGACCTCCACAGGATCTATGTCAATAGCTATCATGATAAAGAAAAGCTTTCAGGAATAAAAAGGCAGCTTTCACAGGAAACATGTGAAAACTTACAGATTGCAGCTCAAAGGCCAGAGCTAAAAGAAATAACACTCTAAAGAAAACTGTCTATATGACTTCACTTTCACATACTGCTGCAAAGATCACTTCTTTT